ACAGCAGTATTTACTGATCCTTACCAGGTTTGACGTTTTCGTTGACTTTAAGGTAGGAGAGTCCTGAAGAAAACGGAGGCTGAACGGTCAGAGGAGGAGGCGCTGTGTTACTGCTGCACAGAGACACTGTGGAGGAGCTCTGCAAGAGACAAGTCCGCAGGAATGGTGCTCAAGAGGAAGCAGGAGGAGGTGAGACTCAGGCCCAGTGAGCTTACCTTCTTTTACTTATAGCGTATCTTACCTGGTGGCCTTTCACCTGCAGTGGGGACTAACAAAGAAAACCAACCTGTCTCAGTCTGAATGACAAAAGCCACTCAAGTTATTCCAGTGGTTTCACCGTGAACTACAGCTCTTAACAGCTGGATACTATCCATTAGAGTATAAAGTCAAAGTCTTTAAAGATTTTTACTGAAGTAAAACTTAAGAAGTATTATCAGAAAATGTTCTTAAATATAAAAATAAAAGTACCCTTTCTGCAGAATGGCCATTTCATGATGGGGTATTGTTATTGATACATTATTGTTCAGTATACTTGTGTCTTAACATGTAAGTGCCTGTACAGAAAAAATCATTTTAACTACAATGTGTGTGTGTGTGTGTGTGTGTGTGTGTGTGTGTGTGTGTGTGTGTGTGTGTGTGTGTGTGTGTGTGTGTGTGTGTGTGTGTGTGTGTGTGTGTGTGTGTGTGTCTTTTTGATGTTGAGGCTTCTGTCGTCTTCAATGTGCACTGCAGACTATTTCCTCTGACATCCTCCCAAGTGAACTTGATGTTGCTGTCCACAACATTGATGTGTTCTATGAAGGCTGTGAAGAGTTTATTGTAACTGGTGCCTCCACGTACAGGACAACAGAGACGGAGAATGTTGTTAGCAGGGAGAGAGGGACGCAACACTAGGAAACTGTATAATCTATGAAGAAGAAAACCCTCATCAGAATATCCTTACATACAGATACACTGTGCTGTTACAAGGAAATTATCAAGAAATTTCTGAGGTTTCTTTGTGATTTAACATCAAAAGAAAGCAAGTTATACTGACATGCTGGCCTTGCTTTCTATCCTTAGGTGTGTGTATCCTGTTCCCCGGTCAGGGAGTATGTCCGTTTATTTGACGTGACGGAGCGGACATCGCTGCATCGGCACGGGACGGGCCGCAGTTGCAGCCTCTGTTGTGGCGAACTCAGGGATACCATAGTACACTTTGGGGAACGTGGGACCCTGGAGCAACCTCTCAACTGGAAGGGAGCTGCAGAGGCTGCCAAAAAGGCAGATGTTATCCTCTGTTTGGGCTCCAGTCTGAAGGTAGGTTTTATAAACCACATTGAGTCTGAAATGCAGCCCAGTTCCCAGTTGTAGACTGAACAGGTTGGCTCTTGATCGAGGTCATCATGTTTATTTCTATGTTTGTGGACTGTAATATTCACAATATTGACTTTATCCCAAATAGGACTTTTGATACAGCTGTTTACATAGGCAGCTGACAGAACGGATTCACTCATATTCATGTGTAGATATTATAGAACCTGGCTAGATTACTGAATTAAGACTCACCTCTCCAGTATTTTACCTCGAACCCTGTCTTTCTGTCATGTCGCTGCCATTGTAAATCCTTTTTGGCTGCATCCATCATGCACATTTTAGAAAAATACTGCTATAAGCTTTACTTTGATTCAGCCTGTAAAACATATGTTGCAACCTATGCTATGAAACCTTTACAGAGTTATGTGCAGTCTAGTGTTAAACAAATATGTTACGTAACTATATTTGTGAGGATTCACACTTTGTATATGAATGTGTTCAGCCTTAGTATGACCTTGGAGACAAATCAGAAAATGATTGTTTCATTGCAGCTGCTTATTTTGTAAGTTAACTATTAGAATGATGAATATCATGTTAACAAAGTTATTGTATTGTAATGTATGTAATTGTATCAATGTAGACTGATATATTTTATTCTATGATATTTGTTATTTTTTCTTGTAGCATGTTCCTCACTGTAGTGTGCTCTGTCTCTCACATTTCTAGGTGCTGAAGAAATATGCTTGCCTGTGGTGCATGAACAGACCTGCGAGCAAAAGGCCCAAACTCTACATTGTCAACCTCCAGGTACATTTGGTTTTGACATTTTATGTGAATAATATGAAAATGAAGTTCTGGCTGCTCGGTGGCTGATAATGTGGTTGTGTGTTTGTTCTAGTGGACACCGAAGGATGATCTTGCTATGTTGAAAATTAATGGCAAGTGTGATGATGTCATGAGCCTCCTCATGGAAGAGCTGAACTTTCAGATTCCCGTGTATGACAGGTAAAGTAAAAAGAAAATTTTAAAAAGTGAAGTAATTATACCCAATATATCTTTCAGAGAGACTGGTAAAACATCTGTGTAATATTAAAAATCTTAAAAAGGATTAAATACTAATATCAAATAAATAATTTGTGCTTTGTCAGGTGCAGTACTTGGATTGTGGAATATCCCCACTATACTCCATTACACACACACTCACACACAGAAAACAGAAAGATTAGACAAACCTTTTGCCTCCCAGCTCACAGTTTCCCTCATTCTGTCTCATCAGGGCAGAGGATCCCATCTTAAGTCTAGCCACACCTCTGCGGCCAGAGGAGGTGGACAGCCATAGCCGCGAGGTCATAGCTCCCCCTGACGGGCAGCAGGACTGCTTAGTCAATCCTGGGGGACAAGCAGAAGAAGCCACAGCTGTGCAGGGCGGCTGGTTCGGACGAGGCTATGGTAAAGGAAGGAAGAAGAAGAAAACGGCTTCATAACTGAGGGATCTGAGTTCAAGTATGTTGCAACCCCCAGTGATCAATCCCCATGAGGGATTCAAATTTCAGTCCCATGATGAGGACAACTTGGACTTGATCTTTCATGGTGCTGTGTATTTGTTATGTAATTTCGGCTGCGTTGATATCATTTAGTCACATGCACTGAGTGCATGTGAAGGGAAAAATACGTTTTTTGCCATTTGAAAATGGCACTTTGCACCATGACCTTATTATTTTACACAAATGTACAGTTTTAAGCAGGATATAAAAGTGTTATTTTATGATGCTCTAGTTTCTTATGCTACTATCTTTATGGCAGCTAAGATAGCTGGGTGAGTCAGAGCCCAGTCAGCATAACAGGTATGACAGTAAGTAAGTTTGAACAACAAAACCATTAAATTATTATAATGAAATTTTCTAAAAGGTGAAAAGAAAGAGCATTTTGGTTTCTCTCAAGATGTGTCAGGAAGGATGTTTCCTTATTTGACGCATGTCTACGGTCAGCTTAAATCCAGATAGTCACAATGGATAGCAGTAGTCACAAGTTTTGAAACCACTGCAGCATTATCAGTTTCTCTGCTATCCATTTGTATGCCCAGTATATCAACAAATACAGCATAATGTTTTATAGCCATGTTTGAAGCCTCCAGGTGCTGAATGAAAGTTGGTAATGGGTGCATTACAGTAACTAATTTAATGTGCAACATGCCGCTGGATTGAGCATTAGCTAGATGCAAATGGCCATAAAATACAGGTGTCTAAAGTGTAAGTTACTGTATGTATGTATGTGTTATCTATCAGTGGAACGTGAGTGACTTGGGTGTTTTATAAGTAGCAAATACCAGCAGAAGAAGAGCAGAATACCAAAGGCCAAATTTTGGATTCTGTGCTGCCACGCTAAGAAGAGATTTAAAAAGATTGAGACATTAATTGCTTAGACTAGAAGATATTTTTGTAGTCTTTTTCAAACATTTTAAGCTTGCATTGTTGAATGTACCTTGTTCAACTTAGCTTATTTGTGTTTTTTTTATGTTTTTAAAGATATTTTGGTTTACTTAAATTATTTCCTGAATTCACACTCAACCTTCACTCTGCTGTCACCCATCCTCAGGTTTGCAGGCATAGTAGTACAACTACTACTGTACCTTAGTTTACTGAAGTTCTTTGTTTATGTTTACATTTTTATCTCCTTTGTTTACAGCTCTGTAAGAAGTAAAGCAGAGTTTTGAATTTTTACTTAAATTTTGATTAGTTGTTAGTTTGTCAGGTTAAGTTACTGTTTACCTTGGTCATAGGAAACCACCAAACAGGTGTATTATGTTGTCTCAGGAAGGTCCGGTAGTATTAATAATCACATCCTGTACCATATAGTGTCAGAATTTGTGAAAGGCCAGACTAGCCATGATAAGCTAGTGTTCAGCATTCCTAAAACTCAAACCAGTGCTAGAACTGGATGTGAAGACTCATTAGTTGTTTCTATATTTTCCAAAAATGTTGTTATATTTGTGAGACAATAAAGTGTTCCTCATTTTAAGTTGCCTGTTCATGATAGTCTACATTTTTAATCAGCCCCTTCACCTCTAAAACCTAAGACACTCGATAGTTCACTTAAATACTGTTTCTGTGGGTTTCGTAATTCATTTCTGTTGTTCTTGCTGTCATTTTTTGGTTCAAAGCATCATAGTTTGACTGACAAATAATTTTAAGTAACTTTCTAGCTGTATTTATCATTGTGGAACAGGTATTCAGATCCTAAGTAAAATGTAGCAATACTACAATGTGATGTGTGTGCAGCAGGATGGTCCATGTCAGAGTTAGTTTTTTATATATATCTGGATTATTACTGCAACATTTTAGTGTTGTAGTTAAACTACTAAGTAAAAATTCTGAGTTAATTCTGAAAAACACAAAAACAGGGCATTCATTTTTTCTCATGTGGATCATCCATGATGTGAATGCAGTAAATGCATAACGCTTCCCTGCTGATCACGTGACATGACTGATTACGCAACAGCTAGTCAGCATGAGAGGATTCGTTCGATATGACGTAGTACTGGAGGCGTTGGCCGGTGTAGTGTCAGCCTGAGTCCGACAAGAACAACATTCTTTCCGATAATCTCCGCGAAGAACTAGGAGCTGACAAAGTAAAAACGTTTAAACTTACTCTACCTCTCGTTTTTATTTGTACCACCACTAAGCTATTTTCTTGAACCCGTCAAAATGATCAAAAACGGTCACCACGCCACGGACGACCAACAGGACGAAGCCGGTTGCAGTAAGCCGGGTAGTTCAGTGCGCAGCCCGGAGAAAAGGAAGCGCGTCGTCCGGTTGTGGTGTGACGGTTGGTGAGTCCAGTCTGACTGACTTACATACTCTGTGCTGGTTTATTAAACTGTTTCCCACAGTTTGTGTCCCACATGTATGCGGTCCCATGTGCAATAGCAATATCAGGAACCATTGGTGGGTTAGCATGCTAATACTAGCTAGCTAGCTACTTACATTAGCAGTTTTGTAACTTAGCAACAGAAGTTTAATCATTTCATCATCCATATCTACCTTAAATACTTTGTTGGTCGCAGCTAACGTTACATTGTCTTAAATGTCTTATTTCCTCTTGTAACAACTCTTCTCGTTTACTATCTTTGCTAGCAGCCAACCCAGACAACTAAGGTCTTGTCAAAGCAACACAGTTATTAACGCTTCTGTGTGCTTAATAGTTTCTTTGTATTTGACTGATAAACCCCAATTCTTAAACCTATTCCTTCAGAAAGTGTTCTCCTAGTACACCTGCTGCAGTCGTATACCTGCGTATCAGTTTTTACGAGACAGTGCCATGGGGTAAATTAGGGACAAGGTCCTTTCTGTTCATAGACTCGCAGTACTGCTGCGGTTGTGAACATGTTTGTTTATGTATGTATGAAACGGTAACTAGACAGAACAGAAACTATGTTTATTTATAGGATAGGAAGAACCACAAGGTGAAAACACGTGAGCCGTTGTTTCCTACACAGGTGTTTTCTACGCTTAACTCACAGGAAATTTCTGACAGCCTTTAAATGCATCAATTATGAAAACAGTTTAGATGTCCAAACCACATTGCTGTAGGTACACCATATTCCTTAACTGTAACCTCTTATTTGAAATCCTGCTATTAATTCCTCCAACTCCAATGTTATTTTGTGTAAACTATTGGCAGCGTTTATACTGTGTCATTTCTGCTGGGTTGGGTAATGCTGAGTACTTTAAAATTATCTGGAGATTACTTAAGGGCATTTACTTACTCTCTCTGTTGGTTGGTTGAGACTAATTCATGCTAACTCATTGGTCTGAAAAGCATATCTCTGCTGTTATTTTAAGCTCTGCTGTCTCACCATTGTACTATGAAGGATATACCCTGATCCTCACATGATTTAGATGCATCTGAAGTCACAACTAACCCCTAATATGCAGTCTCAGTCAAGTCTTTCCTGGTCTCACTCTGCACAACGAAGTGGCTGAGTTACTGATAGCTAGTTTGACATAGCCTGTCTCATGTGGTGGTTATAAATAACTAACATAGTGAACATCTTGTCCAGTGTGATGTAAAAGCAGCATGTTGGTGCAGTGGACAGGGATTCCTTTTTTGGGGACTGATGGAATATACAACACAATGAAGTGAAAGGGAAGAGATTAAATGTAAGACTATTCAGCAGTAAACTGCAAGTGTCAGAAACCCAAATTACTTCACAACAGTCTTAACGAGATATTGGGTTCACAGGAACCGATGTGGTCCAGGACACATAACCAGGGCATCTGCAAAAAAATTATTTGGACAAAATACTGAGATGTTAACAAGATATTAACTGAGCCAGGAAAAATTTGACTGTGTGACACATTCCATCAGTTACTGCTTTCATTAACAAGGCTGCTAATGGTGCCCCCAAAGGACAGTGTCTATTGATTGTTTGATCGATCTATGAACTAATGTTACAAATATACAGTATGTGTACATTTGTGGACTTTCAAAACTGTAAAAAAAAATATATTTTGTGACTGTATCTAGTTAAATAAGAAATGTCATTTAGTTGATTGACAGTTCTAAAATGTCTAGAGGCAAATAATCACAAAGTACACCTGTAAAATTAGGAAACAGTTTACAGTGTTTGCTTTTTTTCTCTTGGATTACTATAACTGTCAAAGTTGTAGCTCAGTACTGCAAAATTATCATACGGTAACCACTGATTTGCATATACATCACTCTCAAGAAGTGACATTTATACCTAGGAGCATATTTCCTCACTGATCCTGACCAGGCCAGGTGAGGGAGGTTGGAGGATTACTGGTAGGGAAATTGAGACTAGCAGCTTGTGCTAATGTCATTATAGAGGAGAGGTCTTGCCACTGGAAGAACAGTGACAGATGGGGTGTTTTTATCAAAGCAGTGAGATCTGTTGGAAATGCCCTGCAGGTGCAGAAGTGTTAACAGGAAGGTGTAGTACAGACCTTAAAGTGAAAGTGAGTGAGTGGGTTGAATTCCTGAACCAACTGGGAGAAGCATGATTAAAACATCTAATTACTATTGTAACTCCTTCAAAAACTCGCTTAGATGTCTAAAAATAAGTAATAGTAATATTTTGAGCAACCTGTTTTCATATACAGCACATGTAACTTATCAAATATTTAGTCATTCGAGATCTCTTAAATTAGCACAAATATAAATGTGTAATATGAGCCCACTTTTGCTAATAAATTATTTAAAACAGTTTTTTGTGCAGCCAGGGCTCTTAACCACTAGCAGCTCTTGTGAGTCTGCTCAGAGTTTGTGGTTGGACTAGAGTCTGGACAGTCCTGAGGTGTGATTGTTTTCTAACTGTAGGAATGTGAAACTGTAGGGTGCTGAACACAAGTATATTTTCATCAGTTAAGAGTTTGAATACGTTGCAATAAGCTAGGAGAAATCACATTTACTTCTATTTTAAAGAGGCAAGTCAACACAAATCATTGACTGTAGAAGTTACTGAATGGCAGAAAGCAAATAAATATGACCATACACATAGTGTCTTCAAGCATTACCTTTCTCCCACTAACCTTTATCATTTTCACTCACCATGTTAAAAGGGCTATCACTCTGTGTCGTGAGATGTAAACTGCTTGATTTAGATAGCATGTTTTTACAGCGGAGGAAAAAGTAATGATAAGATAATGTTAAACAATAAAGCAAGCAGAATTGGCCAGCTATCATGCAAAAGTATCTGAAAGACATTTAAAAGACAATGCTGCTGTGACTCTTGAGGGCTGTGGCAGTGCTAATTGTGAGGGCCACGTCCCTTATTGTTATGTGTGTTCATCTGTGTTTTTCTCTGTTTTCACCTGTATACTGTTTTGACTGAGCATTTGTTGTATGTATTGTTTTCCATGCTGAGGATGGTGTCATGTCTTTATCTGTCTCCACAGTTATGACATGGTACACTATGGTCACTCCAACCAGCTACGGCAGGCCAAAGCCATGGGAGATTACCTCATAGCTGGAGTCCATACAGATGGTAAAACTGCCACAGACTCACACACACATCCTGATACAGATATTCCTGTAAAACTTTTTTTGATTAACTGTTCACTGTTGATCACTGTACACTGATTGAATACTCAGTTCTGATTGACTGGTGTGGTACTCTACAATGAAGTCCTGCTGTTGTGTATTTCTAATCAAAGTCAATACAACTTGTGGCACAAGACCACAGAGACAGTATTCTTCAGTTACTGAAGACAAAATTGAGATATTCCCATCGTTACTTGTAAGCTACTCAAGTAGCATAAGTGATTACTGATAAGAGGCTGAACAGCAATCTAATGTAAATGTTCACATAAGATTACCTTTTATATTACAGTGTAGAATACAAATACAAGTATTATATTTCTGTGGTCTTGGGGATCTAAGATTTTTGCTTGAAATAAAATATTTTTCAGTCAGGCCAGATGACCTGCGTATTTGTAGTATAACAGTGTAACAAGACTAGGTCAAAACCTAGTATAGGTTGTGGAACCGCTGCAAACAACTGACATCATTGTGTCTTATTTGCATTCTGCATAGTGTCAACTGTTTTCAGCTCTTTATCTGTTTGTTTCTCTCCTTCTCTCTGTGCTCACACAGTATTTTAATACAGCCGAATTTCCCTTAAAGCTATTCTCATTTACATGTTTTTCCATTTTTGTTGTCAGACAACACAACTAGTTAGAAATAGTGACTTAAATGTTAAGACCATTAAGATGACATGTTAACTTCCAGGCCACTTCCAAGCTACTGCTGTGCTGCTTGTAAAATCCTGATTTTATAACTGCAACATTGTCTGACAAGATCACCAAACACTTAAAATAAAAACAGACTGTACTGTGATATCTGCTATATGTACTTGTAAAATGCTCTGGTGCAACTTTGATCACTCAACTCTTTCACTCAGTCAGTCACGGACATTTGCGGTTATAGGGCTGGCCCCGCTGTTGCTGTTCAGCCAAAATAGGATATAGAGTAAAGGGAGACCAGTTGAAAGGGATGACCACCACCTACATTATTCATAACTGACTACACATTTGTCGGTGATGTACCAATAATAAGCAATTCTTTCCCCATCTCTTTCTCAAAGCGGAGATTTCCAAACACAAAGGTCCTCCAGTCTTCACTCAGGAAGAACGCTACAAAATGGTACGGGCAATCAAGTGGGTGGATGAGATAGTAGAAGGAGCACCTTACGTCACCACCCTGGAGACTCTGGATAAATACAACTGTGACTCCTGTGTGCATGGAGGTGAGTCAGATTTAATCTGCTCCCGTTTCTTGTCTTAACATACTGAGTGTCATGTATTATTACTGTCCAAGAGTCCTTCTCAGTGATGTGATCAGGCTTCCAAATGTAATGCCATTGTTTGCCAGATGACATCACGCTGACTGTAGATGGCAAAGACACATATGAAGAGGTGAAGCGTGCAGGCCGGTACCGGGAATGTAGACGCACACAGGGTGTCTCCACCACTGACCTGGTGGGACGTATGCTTCTCATGACCAAAGCCCATCACAGCAACATGGTGAGTTTGGTGTCTGTGTTTAGTGTATGGATAATAGTTAGATAATATATGACAATGATAATGTTTTGCTGTTGATCTAAACTATAATTGCAGGATAACCCAGATTACCAGCAGCATACAGACAACTTTGGAAAGGTATGTGCCTTTTTATGTTACTACAACATTGTTATGTCAATAAATTGTGATATTTATTACACATAGCCTATTCCACATTGTCCCACTGACAGGAACGAGTCAGTGTGAATTCAGTACTGTATACGTTGTTGTGTTCTAGGGTCCTAAAGGCCACAGTCCCTGGACAGGAGTGTCTCAGTTCCTCCAGACGTCCCAGAAAATCATCCAGTTTGCCTCAGGAAAGGAGCCGCAGCCTGGAGACACCATCATCTATGTGGCTGGAGCATTTGACCTCTTCCGTATCCTTAGCATGTAGAGATAAGCAGTCCTGAGTTATGAACTCTGGGTAACAACATTTCTGCTTTGTATGTTGTAGTAGTTGCCTTGACCACAAATTCCCCGCAGACATCGGCCATGTTGACTTTCTAGAGATGGTGTATAAACAGGCAGAGAGGCCCTACGTCATCGTAGGTCTGCACTTTGATCAGGTACGCCTCATTACTCACATGCACTCACACACACATCTCAACAAACACACTCTTAAAAGGGTGAAAAATGCACCCCTCCTTGCTACGTCAGTGGTTTTCAAGAGAAACATTTGGAACAAGTTAAAGCAAGAGCGGTTCAGACTTCATGGTTAGACAGGGAAGAAGGCCCTCATAAAACTGTTTGCAGTTGTAGGAATGTAAGCCCATATCACTATTAAACTTACTGTGATCTGTCCTTAAGTTTCAAGTGTGTTGGCTGCATATCAAAAAGGTACAAATGTAAAAGTAGTCACTGAGCTCTTCACTCTCTTAGGAAGTGAATCGGTACAAGGGGAAGAACTATCCAATCATGAACATCCACGAGAGAACGCTGAGTGTCTTGGCCTGTCGGGTGAGTTCACACACACAGACTGAGAAAATGTTCAGCTCAGCAGTATGTATTTCTTCCCCGCGCACTCACAGCACTGCAGGCTGAACTTGGCTCTGTGCCCCTGATTCCTGCTGGTCAGCTATCAGTCTGGAACAATGGGTCTCTGTGCCCCCTTCTGCACTGTGTGTGTTTGTGTTGAAGTTAAAATGACTTATGAGAATGTTAAACAAACCAAACGTGTTACACAATCCTAAAATCGCTAAATTGCTTTTCTCTGTCATCAGTTTTACTCAATGCTTGATGACGAGGTACAGAGTTTCCCCAGTTAGCAGTAAAAACACTTTCACCTTTTTCACTCTGCTGTATTTCAAAGAGGCTTTTTAGTTAAACTTTGCATTTAAACAACATTTAAAACAGCAAAAGTTTGAGAAAATGTTATAATTGAATAGCAAAATCAACTTAATGAACCTGTTTTTTCCCTCATTATTGTCCTGCCTGTCTCTAGTACGTGTCGGAGGTGGTGATCGGTGCACCCTATGCAGTGGGCAAAGACCTGCTGGATCACTTTAAGGTGAGTTGCCTTTGTACAGATAGTACAGAACAGACTGTCTGTTCATGTGGTTTTTATTCAGTGTATTTATAGCTCTATTTTGCCAGGGTAGTCTGTTGAGATGAAGAACTGTTCTGCAATAGTTTTGGCCAAAATGGCAGCATAGTAATGTTACATAATGTTACATCAGCAAACAAAGAGCCAGTCTTCACATGAGGAAGAAAAATAAATAGAGGAGGGAACATACACACAAGAAAGCACAACGTTACTGTAGCGGACTATACAATAAAACAACTGCCTTTCCCCATTTCAGTCCTTATAAGCAACTGAATACCACCTCTAGCTGTGGGTAGAACAGCATTTAAAGCAGAGTAGTAGTACTGGGGTGGCATCAAAAATTACTATTTGATTTTATTCGATAATTTAGATTTTTGAGAAGTGCATCACTTTAGATTTAGAAATAACTGGGATTCACTCAAAACGTCTTGAGTGAATTGAATCATATATCATGTCTTTGACAGTGTAGGGCAGAACAACAGATCACTGTGTGGTTGCTGCATTTGAAAGATTCATCCCAACACAATTCATGTATCTATGACAACAAAAAGGGTCCAATTCTGAACATAGTGGCGCCCCCTTGTGGACAGTTGTAATATCAGCTGAAAGACCATTAACTTAAACACATTAAGATCTGTGATGGAGACTGTAGGTAGTTAACAAACCAACATCACAGCCTTTTCTTCAAATGTAATGCACAGTTTGAAAAGTCTCAGATAAATCACACACTAATGGTCCCATTCACTTGTCTGGGTAAATAATGTGTGGCTATAAATAAAAAGATGAAGTTAGTAACAAGCTTACCTTGGCAAGAAGGAGGGCAGTAATACCAGTTATGCAAAGTAACAGGGATCTGCACATACACCTGCCAGCACAGGGCTTCTCAGTGGCAGGCAGTTACTCCACAGTGAATGTTCAGATACACAGGCATGTATTTACAGGAAAAATGCAATTTATGTCTCTCTGTGGTGACAGTCAGTTTAACCAGGTGTGCTTGTATAACTTTGCAGGTCGATCTGGTGTGCCATGGTAAGACGGAGGTGTTTTCTGACAAGGATGGGTCAGACCCTTACGCGGTGAGTACAGGGTCATATCGTCTCTGATCAAAGTGCAGCCGTACCCATTATTATACTGCATTTATATATTGCGTGTGTTTATATTTGACATTATTTCAAGGTCACAATATGCTGTTGGCCCAATGTCTGACTCAAACCAAGGCAGGTCTTGGTCGCACAGCGAGCATACAAAAATTAATAACTTAATATTCTTTTACAAGAATGCTGTCAGCAATGTGATGTAAACAAATATGTGATAAATTTTTCATTTTTCAAAACAGTCATCAATTTCAGGCCATGAATACACAACCTGTTAATGCAGCTTTGCTTTTATAATCTTTCAATGATGACCTTATGTTTGGCGTTTTTGTCCACTGCCCTGAGCACTAAACTCTGGTGTATTATCATCTTATACTGACATACCTTGTCATACATCATCCCTTGCTTGTCAGGCTGCTTTCAGTTGTATCTTTGTAGCCTACACAAACATACAAAGCAGAAAGCAGGAGAGAATTACCATAATGCTTTGTAATTTGAGGTAAAATGAATTTGATTCTATTGTCCAAATTGACCTAAATGAAGTTCATTCAAACTTGGAACAAGAACTAGATGATCTTTCTTTTTGTTTTTGGTGTTTTGTTTTGTTTTGTTTTGTTTGCTTCATAAGGAAATCAGATATAGCTAAGTGTTAGCATGAGTGATGAGGTACAGTTAAAAATGGTACTCCTGGACTAGCTACCAGGATACTCCCAGTATCAGTCCTGGTTATTGGTTCAACGCGAAGGAATGATGAGTGTTCAAGGGTTGACGTCTTCATTCACAGGGGATGACAAGGACACGTGGCCTCGCTTGGGTTGAAATAACTAGTAGTGTGTTTTTCCTTCAGGAGCCTAAGAAGAGAGGGATATTCAGGACCATCGACAGTGGAAACAACCTCACCACTGATGACATTGTCCAGAGGATCATTGAAAACAGGTCAGAGTCTCCCCATGCTTAATTTAACTCACACTTCCTCATCATCTTCTTCTATATTTTTTAGTTCTATTGATCAGTCTGTATGTCTTTACTCTATTTACTGATGTCTCATTTCTTGTTCTCAGGCTGCAGTTTGAAGCCAGGAACCAGAAAAAGGAGGCCAAGGAGATGGCGGTGATTGAGGCAATGAAGAAGAGAGACCAGCAGGAGCAGAGTGAAGCTGCAGCCCAGACTGCTCACTAGTGAGACCTCCAGCCTGGGCCCAACTGGTTCTGTGTCTGATCTACTCCTAGTACTCAGCTTTAAAGAGGGTGGACACAACTGACCCAGACAGATGTTGTCCTAAACCAGGCCTGGCTTTGGATAAAATGACCCCGGTTTCCCTTTTGGTCTCTAGTAGTCCACTGGGTGCAGAATCCTGCTTTTAACATTTGGTGAGGCAGTGTGTCCCACACACTGCTGGGTTAGCTCCTCTCAGCTCTCTTGTATATGGACTACTCCAGCCTAAATGGGATTAGATTAGATCTGCCTTGACAAGAACACAAAGAATCCAAACACATAACACATACTATGACTTTTAACCAACAAAATCCCTTTACACATCTCATCCTCCACAGACAACTTTATTTTTATCTTCTTTCATGTTGTACGTATGATTGTGTCCATGAATTTACACACTGCGTGTCCCTGTATAGGTGTTTAAACTGGTATATTAAGTTTGTAATTATCCATAATTTATTGACAAAATGTTAACATCATTGTTAGTTATGTTTTTAGATTTTAAACCAAATTAGTTTTTAATGATCAGTCTTAGAGGTGGTAGCAGTAAGGTTGAATATTTTTAATACATTTAGAAAATGTAGATTAATTTCAATTTCTGTGTTTTTGTCTTGCCTAAAAAAAACATAATTTCTACGTTAAATCATCCGTGAAGTAGTCTTCTAATTTTAACTCTGGATTTTAACTGCCTGAATTTGCACCGAACGTGCGTGTGTGCGTGCGTGGGCGTGTGTGTGTGTGTGTGTGTGTGTGTGTGTGTGTGTGTGTGTGTGTGTGTGTGTGTGAGAGAGAGCGTGAGTTAAGTGAGGTCAGCGAGTGAGAGTTTGCGCTGTAAATGACAGTAGTGCCTCATTCCAAGAGCTAAAACTAAATTGAGGGCTGTGAATTGTATCAAAACGTCTGAACTGCTGCAGTGTCTCTACAACTATGGATAAAGTTGTTGAGTTCTACTTTCGTCAGTCTACATTTAAGAGAGAAAACTAGAATGTCCTCTTCTCCTTTTTCACAAGACAATCGAAGAACTTAAAGATTTGGGACCCGGGTTCACCGTCAAACTGTTGAACGTTACCGTCTGTTTCCTATTCCTATGATTATATGGGGCGTATTACTTGGACATGAATGGTTAATGTGTGCGTGTGTGGGTTGGAAGGTGGAATGGTGGCAGCCTGAGAAATAACTAAGTTTCTAAATATTATACAGTGGAAATTTTCACAACCTTTCAATCACTGTATTGCAATGTGTAAATTTCCCTTTATTAAATAAATTGTTAAAAAATGGTAAAGTGTCATCTGATGTGTGTTTTACAGCAGTAGTATAATGCGTGCAGTCTGATGACAGAGATCTTTGTTGGATCAGCACAAAGTCACGCTTCGCTGAGTCAGTGAAATGAGGCCGCAGCCACTCAGAAACCGCTAAATCCGAGTGCTCTTGTCCCATTCACACTGATCTCGCATTTGAACAAAAACTGCAAACCGTCACCTCATTACGAACACAAAGAGTCTTTAATCCACCAACCCGAGCACCACGGAGGAGCTTCTGCAGGAAGGATCCTGTCACTTATCTGAGGGACACAACAGACCACAGTCTTTGTGGTGTTAGGCACCCCGCTGAAACATCAAGACTCACTATCCACTAAGCTGTTGTTATGTTTTTTTTTTCACTATTCTGATTTTCAGCGGGTGATATGGCAAAGATAAATGTTTATTTTACACAGGGCCCCAGAGGAGAACCATTTGCTAAAAACTGCAGCAGGTGGAAGGATAGGACAGAAAACACTATTATATTATTCTATATAATTGTTCATTTTAATTCTTTTTTTTTTTTACTTTTCTCTAATGGAGAAATACTTTAACCTCTTCAGGTCTCTAAAAACCATTCAAATAAGACAAAAGAAGAAGTAAACTCTCTTTATTTAATTTTTCATTAATTTATTTTTTGGAGGAAACCCAGCAGAGCAAAGAGAAACTACCATCTATGGGCCAGTCTCAGTTCAGAAACCTGAACCCACAGGTTTCCTGCTGTCCCGCACTGAGGAGACAAACAGAGAAACAATGAAAGCAACAAGTTTGACAAAACACCGTCCTATATAAAGACAGGGCGACAAATCTATTTTTAAAGAGAATAATTGGTTAAAAAAAATACAGAAGAAAAAAAATGCAGAGACATTACACAGAATTTGAAGGGCAGAGATGAAAGTGTTCTTTTGAGATAACAATTTAGATTCAGAAGAACTAAATATCCGTATAAAGTTTTTCCAATGTGATAGAATTTTATTTCAAATTCCAGTATATGTACAGGAAAAGGACCATAAGCCATAATTATGATTGTGACTGTTAGAAGCAGGTCAGGGGTTCAGTTCATTGTGTTGGTTCTGGTGATTCACCCTTGAGGGGAGAAGGCAGTCATGTACAGATTAGTAGGTATAGGTGTAAAAACCCTACACAGTGGCTGAATAACCCACAACTCATATCCACCACAGCTATTTTTTACTGACTTTGCCCCGGACTGTGTGACAGTTTGGGCTCACTTCATAGACATCTGTGCTACTATCCTGTTAATACTTCACTCTTATTTATAGTGGTGGAAAATCAATCACAAGTGTTGCATTTAAAATCCTAACCAAGTAAAAGTATGGAGGTTTTATCAACAAAATGGGAGCGGAAATAGGAAAAAAACGAATTTATATTTGTATTACTTTTCTCTAATGTTTGATTTTTTTGTGAGATATTGGATAATTCTACCTCTTTTGGCTTCAGTTATTTAAATCTTTATTTTAATGGAGGAAATGCTGACAACTCAGATATCTGCAATGTGACAGAGGCCTCAGTCAGACACTGTTTTTATAAAAGAGGTCACAAGCCAAAGCCTAATTTAATGTTTAATTTGAATCTTTAATGTTTATAGACTGACTGTATTTCCTAAAGTCACCATATGTTATTTTAATACACAAACGCTTACCTTGGAAAGTAACTGGTAGTGGGTAAAAAGTACAATATATATGGAGTACAAGTATAAAGTTACACAGAAAAGAAAAGTAAAATACAACTGAGAAACGTATTGAAGTGCAGTACTGGAGTAAATGTACTCGGTTACTTTCCATCAGTGCAACATCCGAGCACAGGTGACACACGTAGTTTTCCCAGCATGCAGAGGTAAACACATGAAACTGCGCGATCAGCACTTTAGTCCCTCGGCACGTCACTTCCCAGGGAAGTCCAAAACTTTTCCATCTGGGCAGCAGGCTGCAGTGGGAGGAGGCTCTTTCAGGATTAACTGGGGTCTTTGCCAAGGCGGCAGAGCAGAGTTTGAACCGCTGTGGCGCACACTCACAAAGCAGTTGTGTGTTTCCTCTGCTGTCCACAGTCGCTTAAAAGTTACCACGCGTTAAAAGCCGCCACTGACAGTAAGAAGAAACACCTGGAGCGATGCGTAAAATCACTGCTGCCCACCACGACTCCGACTTTGCGAGTTTGAAGGATGTTTCGGAGATGGCCTGAACTTTTTTTTTTTTTTTTTTCTTGAGAGTGAACTTTTCTGCTCAGTAAGATTCACAGGAACAGACTGAGGAGGAGCAGAAGGGCTCGCAGCATGCAGGTTATAGAAACAAACTCGGGGTGATCCCAGTCTGGACTCCCTGTCTTTGTTTTCCGCTCTGACCGGGGCCCGGGAGGAGATGAGTGCTCGGGATGGGACTGTGCCTCGGTACCGAAGTAACAGAGGAGGAGAAGAAGGCGAGGACACACAGTGCCAAGATAGACAGAGACCTGTATGAATACGCCAAACGGGAGATGAATGTAGTTAAAATACTCTTGCTAGGTGAGACTGACCATCCCGATATAAACTCACCTTAAACTCACCTGAGTTTATCCCTCTTTTATCTTGTACCTGAGTCTGTGCATTTGTATCATACAACATATGAATCTAAAACCTCCAAACACCAGTGTCTGTAGCTGGTTATTTAATGGATGACATGATAAAATTCTTCATTTTGCCTGGGAACTGGGAGTTGAAAGGTTTTGGAGACACGGTCACAAATCCTCTTTAGGAACCACCATTTAACTTTACCCATTGCAGATTGGATGGTAAAGCCCCTCCACAGATGAATAGATGCCAGTATAATATGTTTTATCTTTAATACATGTTTTCAGATTTAACAACTTCAACCTCCTGCAGGTGCAGCGGAGAGCGGTAAAAGCACTCTGGTCAAACAGATGAAGATCATTCACAGTAATGGATTCACCAAACAAGAGCTAACCAGCTTCAAGGTTGGAAACACACACACAAACACACACACACACACACACACACACACACACACTTGATCAGACTACAGCCTCCTTCACCCTGCCCGTTATTCCTTATCAAATAAAAAACTAGTAAATGCTTTGAATAGACCAATGTGACATTTGTTTAGTTGGGGTTACTGTCATAGTTTAGTTTCAGGTAAGAACCTGATTCCAATAGAAGAAGGCAAGAGGTCGGTTTATGCTGCAGGCATGGTGATGCATTGTAAAATGAAAGTTAGATGAGATAAAAGATGGGGAGGCAGTGATGGAGATGAACAGGAGATGAGATGGAAAACGAGGCGATGTTTAGTTCCTGTGGGGGACTGAGATTTCTCATGATACCCAGGGTCAGATCCAAGTTGGTATGCAGTGGTTTGGCTCGCATCTGCTCTTCTCTCTGTGTGTGTGTTGTGAGCGACTCGCAGCCAAATTCCTCTGTTCTACTAGGAGTTGGGTTGGGGTGGGGAGAACGGAGAACGCTGCACACACACACACACACACACACACACACACACACACACACACACACACACACACAGAAAAGTTTCACCCTCATCAGCTTGTTGTTACTGAAGGCTTAGCCTCCTCCACACCCCCCTCCTTTAACCTCTTACCATATTTTTACTCCCATCTTTCCCGTTCATTATTCTGCATCTTTTTCTCTCCCTTCCTCTTCCTTGTTTCTGTTATGCAGAAAATTAATGAGTATGTGATGACAGACAGGATCTGTCTCTGTCTCCATCATTCTCTGTCTCCACTGTCAGACTGCAAACTTCATAAATGAAGATGATTGAGTTTGAACCCACCTAGACACAACAGAGAGAGACTATAAAACTGAAGCAAGGCTCCAATACTGAACCAGAAATGACTTTAACATTATTTATAAAAGAACTGTATTTGCATTGGGGGGTTGGTGTTTATGGTTTATGTGTGTGAACATCCCTTGTGCACAGATAATATCTGTGTTCTGGAAATACGCAAAACACTGTCAAACTTTGCCCTTTGGCAGATGCTCATCGGCCAGTATTACGCACTCACACACCGATAGAACAAATGAAGGTCCCAGTTGTTTGCACAGGCAGCTGGGATGTTTGAATGCATTCCTAGATATTAAAGACGCCTCAGCTCCTTCTTTGGACTCCTCTCTCCCTCTGCTGCCGCTCATGTCTCATAACAGTCACCTTGTCTGCAGTTCGCTGTCCCGTCAACACATGCAGGCATCGTTCTTTTGTTTATTGGACTGTGCGTGGTGAAAGAAAGCTAATCCCTCAGCAGGTCCATTTTGTGCGTTATCAGAATAGAGTGGGACTGTGTGTTTGAACCACAATACTTTACTCAACATCTCTCCCAATATCTGAATGGTGTAAACGAAACGATGCAGCATTAGCCCAGCTCGTTAGCATGCTAGTATTTGCTAATTAGCTCTAAAAACAAATTGCACCTGAGGCTGATGGGAATATCTTTAGGTTTGTAGGTGTTTAATCTTGAACTTAAGTATTGGACAAATTGAAATTTTGACCTGATGATGGTGCTGGATGAAGTCAGGGGAGTTATTATAATTCATCCTCTGGGGAACATGAATGTCTCAACCAAATTTCAGGACGATTAATCCAGTGGTTGGCGAGATGTTTCAGTCTGGACCAGAGTGGTGAACCGACACACATTATACTTCCTGCAACACAATAATAGACTGTAGGGACATACAGAAAAATAATATAAAAAAACTACTCCTCATATAGTATTTATACAACTCTATAGTCGGTATACAAAGAGCATGCACACATGCAATAACACATGTCTAATTCCAGTAGTCAGCTCTCTTTTGTTGTCTCTGCTGTCAGTTGGGTTTGCCTTTGTTCTCAGGTGACGCCCTTATTTTCAAGTGGAAAAATGACACTAACCCACGAACCCGCCCATCCCTTCCCTGACTATCCCAACCTCCCACAGCAAACAGCAGACACACCCTTCTACACACACACACACACACACACTCACACACACGTTCTTACAAACATCAGGACTCAGTGCATATCTTTACACACATGCGTTTGTGTTTATCTCTGACGTCTGACTACCTGCTTTTTTGAACAAGTGTCTTATGTGTGGACACGAGTGCTGCAGTAAAAGATCTCAACCCTGCCTTGAACTGGACAGGTTATCCCTGCTTCACGTTATCCGACCTCTCAAATGTCCCCTGAAGGCACAGTGAGAAAACCCCATCTCTTTATTTCTCTGTCTGGCTCTTTGTGGCCCTGCCAGCCAGGTTTGTATTGCATTAGGACCATGACAGGACCTGCTTGGGAGGAAAAGTAGGAAGGGGGCTCCTCTTTGTCTCATCCCTCCTTTATTTGCAGCCCCGGGCCGTGGTGTTGTTTTTACTGTGGATAGGCTGATGGGCTGAGATTTTTCCCTTCATGCTCTTCCAATACACACAACTCTCTGTCAACAAAAGTGATGCTTTGTGTGTGTGTGTGTGTGTGTGTGTGTGTGTGCGCATGTTGGTGTGCCAATGGTTAACATTTTTGAACTGCATTAATATTTTTCAGCCTGGAATCTCTCTGTTGATTCAGGTGTTTGTATGAATATTTGTCTCAAGGATACTTTTCTTCAAAAATTCAATAAATCTGGGAGCTTTATCACCAAACAGCTGTGAGGCTGAGAAACCGACAGAACCAACAAACCTACAATAACACTCATGAATACTTGGTTATCCATTGTTAGCGGAGCAGTTTTTGGTTAATGATTGAATGTCAGGCCACCAACAGTTCAGACACATTCTTTGTTGTTGTGTTTTTGTAGCAAACGCTGCGACACAAGACAACTGCTAACGGCTGTTAGTTTTCTGTGCCCAGGGAGTCGATCCAAACAGCAAGCTGGACAGCAAGCAATAGAACAATAGTTCAGTGTATCTGGAAGGATTTAGAGATTACACTGTTGTAATGAGAGCTGTGATATCTCTGCTGATGCAAAGTGTACCACGATGTTCCCACAGTACTTTAAACTGTGATGGTGGTGATTGTGGTGGTAGCAGTATAGCAGCCAGCAGCAAACAAAGGTTGGAGAGGTGTGAGAGATTTTTGTCTGTTGGACTTCCTTGTAAACTGATCCGCAACCATTACATTCAATACACACACACACACACACACACACACACACACACACACAAAAGCCTGCTGGGGCTGCAGGTGTGTCTATGGTAATCTGAATCCACTATCAGCTATACGTCACCTCTCTGGATAAGTATGGAGTAAAAAGACACAATGTTTTGACTGTGTGTGTGTGTGTGTGTTTGTGTGTGTGTGTGTGTGTGTGTGTGTGTGGGGCACAGTGTTTGTTTATTAGGGCTAATGTAGCCGTTTGGCAGAAAGTGGGTTTGTATGTAAAAGCAGCTACAGGCTGGTTGGTCAGCTGCTCCAGTTTCCTGCACATACTGTTTGTCACTTTCAGAAACAGCTGCAAAGACTTGTTCTACACATATAAAATGTCTGGTGTTATTTAATCATGACCTCCACCCTCGCTCTCCGTCTCCCACCTTGAGTCAGACAGGGAGGGACTGGGAAACAACTGATAAGGAGGACAAAGGTGGAGGGAGGGAGGGAAGGAAGGAAGGAAGAAGAATGAACTAGCTGAAGACAGAGATGAGGGTGCAAACACTGGATCATATGTGACTAGTAGGAAGCAGAGGAAGAGAGATGAAGGAGGCAGAAATTGACCTACAATAAATACTGCGGTTGTGATGATTGGCGCACAGTTGTTTGTTTAACTCCAGGGTAATTTTTGGGATCATAATTTGTAATGTTGTGTAATCATATTTCATTATTTTGAGAAAATCTTTTTGGGCTGAGATTTGCTGCAAGTTCAGTTGGTACATAAGCCTTTTTATACAGATCTTTTTTTAGCGTTGTTGCTTTTCCTTTGAACAGACAGCAGAGAGAGACAGGAAATCTGGATAGAGAGTTGCAGTAAGTGCAGCCAACAGAAGCCTTTCTAATGTAGGTTCAAAGGCCCCTCCATACTGCAGACAGCCTCAAAATTGTACACTCTAAAAGATTCAGGATTCTGCAGACTTACTTCCAGTGAACAAGCTTGGATACAACCACTCAGCTACCCACCAAAACACGTTGTGGCCCTTGAGGCTTGATGAATGTGTTTCCTTCCTCATAAAACATTTTCAAAGCCAATTGTTTGAATATTTTAAACCTACAGGGGTTAAAACCCTTATTTTTACACCAGCTAGCACTCTTCCTCTTGCCTGGCTTCTCTGACACATTGCTGTGTTTCTCGGCACATTACCGTCATGGGAACATGGGAAAACATCACTAGGATTGTGTACCTCATGGCCTGCCTGCTTGTACATGTGCTTGTGTGTCCTCATGCAAACAAATGGGGACCCACTCATAAAAACAATTTTCCATCATAATTCCACTAGTGGTCAAAAACTCCACAGGATACCTTTTAAAGCTGAGGAGTCCTTCCCCTTTTGTGGTCAAAAATCACACTTTAAATCGCCATTTCAAAAATAAATCTGTGCCCTCATACTTGCAAAACAACAAATTTAATAAGGTGAGAACAAGTTCTTAGCTAGAAGTTACACATTATTAAAGAAGCCATTTGTAAGTTTGTGATAACATTAACAGCTGTTTACGTTCTAATCTTGCCAAGAGCTTCAGCTTTCGTTGCGTTTAAAGAGGTTAGCTATAATACGCCCCCTGAGGGCAGCCTGGATGCTACAGTGACTCGCTATCGTAATGTCACAAGACGGTCCGGCCGTACCGGAGCTAGCTGGTTAGCATGCTAACTTCTGTAGAAGAAAGAAGTGATAGAAATAGAAGCCCAACAGAAGTGTTGTTTTCCACCACCAGAGACAGCTCTTTGGGAGTAAGAAATTAAGTTTGTTGTTGAACTTGCAACGTTTCTTCTCAACTTTTAAGTAAACAGCTGTTAATGCTAATGGTGGCTTTGTAACAATAGCAAAAAACCTACTAATAGCTGCTTTGACATAGCATGTTTGAGACCAATGAAGTTTTTAGTGGAAGAAACTGACTTGACCTTTAAATAAAAGTATGAAGGAGTGAAAGTTTTTCTTCTTCAGCTGTGTCTTGCTTCTCCTCAAAGACTTGTATCATTTCATACTTGAAAGCCTCTCTCAGTCATAAATACTGCACGCAGAGTTTTTCCAGGGAGTGCAGGATTTGTTGTCTTCGGTCACATTTGCACGTCTCAAACCTCAAGACTTCCATCACACCAACTTTCAGTGATTTTTTATGAAAGGTCCAATATTTATTGTTCTTGAGACAATATGAATGAGTTTTTATTAGATAACAAATTGAGAGCGATATGAAATTGCATATCTGAGGTGATGACAGTGATGGTCAGGCAGGGGGAGACAAACACACAGAGCAGCTTATTTCTGACACAAATCAATGAAGCGCTGTCAGCGAAGCTTCTTCTGAGAGAGACTAATTTGTCCCTAATGTCATGGTGTCTGCAGCCCTGAGCCCAGCTCTGCTCGCAAGATGAAGCCCTGTCACTTCACACATTTATCTCACCTCACACATTTCACTGGGAGAGCAACACATCTCAATCTGGACACTGAAACACAGAGAGAGAGAGGAGCAACCAGACTGTGATAGAATCGTGATGGAATGTGAAGCTTATCTTTAGCTGGCAGCAGAGTGATGGAGAGTGAGCACACACACACACACACACACACACACACACACACACTTCCCAGCTCTCTTTAGGAGTCACTCTGCTCAGTCACTTGAGTCTCCAGGTTTCCGAACAGTAAGACAGAGTTAGGAGTTGTGATGTGATAAACACTGTGCTTTCACTCTGTAGTCTTGATAGCTGATCCTTGGGGTGTGATAGATGCAAACACACACTTTGTTTCACATATTCTAGTTTTGATTCAACAATAAGTCAAATGTCATAAATGGGTGATGTTGATAGACCTCATGTGTCTTAAAGCTGCACTAATAAATATATTTATGTTAATAATAGCTTAAATTACTGCCAGCTTGCTCGTAGTGACAAACCCAACACTGCAGGTCCCCTCACCTCAGCTGAACGTTTTAGTCTTTTTAAGCTTATTGTTTTGGTTTTACAGTCTGTAACCGTAATGTTTAGTCCAGACTAGGGCTGCACAATTAATCGAAATATTATTGAAATCGCAATATAGGCAAGTGCAATATCCAAATCGCAGGAGCTGCAATTTTTTTGATAAAGGTAAAATGTGTCACAATATTGTTCTGCATTGTTAGCACCATAAGTGTTGTGGTGCTAGAGAGATGCCCTGGCCTACAAATCCTATTCTCCATGAAGGATCATGATTGTTTGGTACAAAAGTCAATACGAATCACATCAACATTTTTTGTTCTCAGTGAAAATGAAATGCTAAAACAACCATTCCAACTTAAATCGCAATTACATATCGCAATCTCAATATCTGCCAAAATAATCACAATATGATTTTTTTTTTTTGCATATCGTGCAGCCCTAGTCCAGACTCACCACTGTCATCACCGCTGTTTTTGGTAGCAGGCAGATGTTTTGATGAAAAACCTCAGATAAACCTACGGTACACTCACTACCTGTCCAGCACGAAATGACAAAATTAGCGACTAGCTTGTCAACATAATTGAACATTTAGCAGCTAAAGAACCAGATATTTTTCTTTGGAGGCCAAAAACAGAGCTAAAAGGAGTGTGAATATTGGATTTATATTTGTCAGATGGGACAGAAACACGACTCCAAATAGAGGCCTGTGTCACTCCATCAAGTGGATGTGTAAATAGGAACTTTTTGACAATATTTTTTCACCATATCAACTTTATGAGGTGATAATATGCCAATGGTTTGTAACATGAAATATGTATCAAATCTTCAGACAGCCACTAATTTCCATTCATCTCAGCACAGGATTAAAATCAACGGAAACCACTGACTTACTTGAGTCCTTGTTTATTGCATCCACTTAAGAGACAGCCTGTAACATACCCCCTGTAAAACCACAACGTGTCATTATGACAATTAATCTTTTATAATAAGTATAATGTGTTCATCGGTGAGCTTTAATGGGGCTAGTTGACAGATTTTGTTACCTGTGGACAATCCTCAGATTTTTTTTTTCTTTTCTTTTTTCTTCTCCTCTAACTCACTACAAAAAAGGCAAAGTGTCTAACTTTTCCTTCTTGAAAGTCTTCCTTATCTTCCTTAACAATCAACTGAAACACCAACACTATACTTTAGTGCACTGGTTCTCAAAAGACCCCTGGGAGCCAGCAAAAAGGGGAATCATTGACTATTTTGGTCATGGGTTTCAAACACTTTCTTTAATAAAACATCTAAAAGCAAAAAATCTTATCAGACAGGAGACCCTGGGACAAAATCTTGTCAAATGGGGGTCTGTGCTCTAATTTGTGTCCTTGATGTGAAAAAGTTTTAGAACCACCGCTTTAGTGAAGATGCAGTCATAAGTCAAACTGAAGCAAACACAACAATGTGCAACACAATTAGAAAGTGTAAAGACTCTGTGAGTCAATTCTTTGACCAGACACTAGTTTATGAAAGCTTTTTGGTGTCAGGTTTATGTCTGGATTTTTGTTTTGTCCTGTTGCCATGGCTGTTCATGAACTTGACCTCTGAACTTTGTCCTTTGGCAGCCTGCAGTGCTAGATAACCTCCTGACCTCCATGAAGTTTGTCCTCCATGGCATGGGCGTCCTCCGGATCAACCTGGCTAACAGCAGGAACAAGGTAGTCCATCTGCATGTCTCTGTGTCTACTCTTTGTCTAGTTTTCCTGCACTGCACCCACATCACCACTAGAGAGAAGCATCTGAGCACGCCTCATATGGCATCACACACATGCATCTCACACACACACACACACACACACACACACAGCAACAGTTTGTTTGCATGACCGGAGAGCAGAAAGTTAGACGATAGGTGGGTGGTTTGATTGTGATGTTCAATTTGATTTGCACTTTATTGTCAAAAGTATCAGAGCTCATACAGTATCCACCCACTCTGTACATCTGCTGGGAGATGATGACCAAAGTATTTCCTCTATTAAATGTCAGCAGAGTGTGCATGTGCATGTGTTTGCGTGCATATCCATTCATTTGTGCATCTATACTGATTACCAAGTCGAGAGAACGGAGACAGACTCATAAACTTTTCTCACATCCTTTTTTTCCATCTGGCCTCCGCTCCTCCCTGATCATCCATCTACATTTCTGTCTTTGTCCCTTCTCACAGGTCCACGCCCATTCTGTCCTGTCGTGTGGGCGGTGTTTTGACGAAGAACAGGTGCTGTTTCCTTTCCTGAGCCATGCCCTGTCCTGTCTGTGGACTGACCAGGGGGTGAGGGCCGCGGCGGCCCGGGGATACGAGTACGAGCTTAATGACTCAGCGCTGTAGTGAGTACTCTTGCAGCACACACTCACGCTGGGCTGAGGAGATGCAGGGGTCTAATTAGCTGGACTTAGCAGCTGATGCTTGGCCGTGTGCTCGCTGTCACTGGGAATCAGAGTCTGGAGAGTGGAGAGGACAGAGGGAGGGAGACAGACTACAGTAAATTGTAATTACATGTACCTCCACAACTATTAAATACATGGGTATAACATCTTTGAAATACATGCATGTGTTTGTTTTGTATTGGTTTTGGCTTTGTGCATATAAAAGCAAAGCAATGGCACACAAAAAAAATACTCAAACGTACAGGTGTGAATAAATGTGCTCACAGAAAACGTTTAACAATGTGCAAATATAAGGAAAAGTCAAACGTGTGCAGGCACAGTAATGAAAGTAAAGAAGTGAGGTTGGAGATGAAGACTGAAAATAAGACACGAGTGCAGAGGGGATGGTGTGTGTGACGCGGGAGGAAGACAGAGCTGGGACCCACCAGGAGGCTGTCTGTTCTCATCCTCTACCCCAGCTAGAGGCCTCGGCTGTGGGGTTATCTACACCGACAGGCCCCCTGGTTCCCACTGAGAACTACCGTACATCACCATCACCATCCGCTCTCCTCAAACACACACACACACACACACTCACACACGTTTGTTCTTCTATATTCGTGAGGACATTATTGACATAATGTATTCTCTACACTCTTACCTTAACCTTAAAGGGAATTCTGGATTAGTACAACTTATCTTTTGTAGTTTAGCCATCATTATTATCAGTAATAACAAGGTTGTATTGGCCAAGTCGGTTGCTGAGATCTGGGAACGTGGTAAAGAGAGGTCAGATGGGGGAAGAAAACAGGTGTTCAGATCAACAGACAAGTTTTGAACAAACCCACAGGTAAGTCTAACTTAAAGGGTAGAAGGTTAAATTATATTATTTTACTTACGTTATATAGTGTAATTGTAAGATACAGTTTAAAGTGTGCTGACTTTTGATTTTTCTGCAAAATAAAACCGTTAATAATCTGGCTTGTCTTGGAGGCAATGTTGCTATCTTCCCATGACTTCAGCAATTACTTTTACTACAATATTACGATAACTGATAGAAATGATGAGCAAAACTACAGAAATGAAATAAACTGAAAATCTAAACCTAATCCAAACCTTGAACTAAACCCGAATCTTAAGACTTAAAGTTGATCTAATCAATATTCATATGTGAAAATGGACCAGATGACTAGGTGTAATGTGAAAGAGGTAATATTTGACTCTTATTTATCAGGTGGCCACAAAGATGAATCCAAATGAGCGATTATAACCATTGCCACTGTTCAGTTGACAGTTTGCTCTGCTGCCCCCCACGCGTCCAAAAATCAATTAATACAGACTTCTGAAGAATTGCAGACTGGTCCAAATGTACTACCTTAACAAAACGACCCCTGTCTCTATAACTCAGACTGGTCCTCACAAAGACAGAAGTACAAAAAGAAAAAAAACACACACTCTCGCATGTTGTCTGCACTTCCCAGCGTCCGGCAGGCAGTGGGTTTTTTAAGCAGCAGGATGTGTGTTGCTGTCTAAGAAACTGATTCAGGATGACTAGTTGAGAATGTCACAGGCAGTTCAGGTAAGTGTAGATGTCAGTGTGTGTGTGTGTGTGTGTGTGTGTTTAGAAAAAGAGTACATCTCACCGTGCACACACACATGATACAGTTGATTACACTAGCTGTGTTAATAGCTAATCTGTGTTTGAAAGCTTAGCCTCAGTGTGTTATTATGGTAAACCACAGAGTGAATATTCATTGCGATGAGCTGCTGCGCCCCCTGGGCCTCCAGTCTTATCACTGCACACTCTACCAACTGGCACGAGCCAGGAGCCTGCACGAGCCTACACATCCATAACTGATACCTGATTTTATTCCCTTTTGATGTCAAATTTGTCTGCGGGTTATTACATTTATCATTCTTTTCTCTTTCTTTTTCACCTTGTCTTTCACCTTTTTTGCACCCTCCCTTCTCTCTTCTTCTCTCTGCCTCCTCCTCTTCTTCTTCGTTTCTTAGTTTCTTTGAGAACATGGCCCGCATTGCGTCTCCAGACTACGTGCCCACAGAGACTGACGTTCTGCGAGTACGACTGAGGACGACGGGTGTGATAGAGACCCAGTTCAAAGTCAGCCACCTCATTTTCAGGTAGACACCTTTCACTTTGCTCTTCATTAAGACGTAATGCTGCACAATAAGGGCGCTCACAGCCACTGACTGACTTGGAGCAGCTGCAGTCATGTCTGCACTTGACTTCTCCAGGCGCGCCTGTCGTACCAACTTATTTCACTTCTTTAGCTGTGACACTCTTATCTCTGTCTACAGCCCCAGACAGTGATAGGCCCGAGATGTGAGATGGAGATGGGCGGCTCTATTCAATACGTCAATATGCCACCTATCGGTTGGCTTTGCACTCATCTGCTGACAGTACACACACATTCAAAAGCATCAGTGGCTCAGTCTTATCAGGGGAGAAGCAGAGGGCAGGTATCTGAGCTCAGGAGGCTCATATCAGATGAACATATTCATCTCTCATCAATGATCCACTGTCACATAATACTACCTACTTTATCATCTTCCAGTGACTGAACTCATTTCCTGAAGCCGTTGCTGGTCATGACAGGGGGATAGATATTAATGAACTTGATTTCTCTGGAGCCTGACACGGATGCAGAGAGAACCAACATCAAAGAAGCCCAGCTTTTGCACAGCAGTCTTGAGTTGAATGTTGACAACCAATACTGGAAATACCGGAACCAACAGCTGTGCTATTGGCTCAAGTATTTTACATCAAGTATTGGTACCAACAGCATCTGAGTTTTGGTACTAATAACTTAACAATACTTCATTTTGATGAGAAAAAACAAAACTTTTAAAATGCATCACTGGTTAATGTTGTATTCTCAACACCTTACAAGAAATGTAAACTCGCTGCTGAAGTTTTGCAGTAAATCACTGAAAGGTTAAACCTTTAGTTCCAGTGGCAGTCACAATATAAATACTGAAGTATTGAAAGTTATTGAAGTGCTAGACCTGGTTGAAGCTTCAGTTTAAGTGTAAGCACTGAGTGAAGTGTAAGTGAAGTCCAAGTGTCACTTCAAGTGGAAGTGCTGAGAGGTGGTTGAAGTGGTTTAACTGAAAGACGATGTAAGTTGAAGTGTCAGCTGTAGTTACTGAGTCCAGCTGGATTAAATTGTCCATAAACGATGGAATTTAAAAAGTTAAAAAGTTTTTTTTTTTTTTTTTTGTTATTCAAATGTGATGAAATGAAATAGAATAGAAAATTAACATAAAATGACGACATACAATTTGATAATATCTGATCTGCTAATGAAAAGCCCAAAGAATTGCTGTATGTTGATACAGTACGACCTACAGTACAGTTCACATTTAATGATATTATATATTATATATAGCCTTTATTGACAGCCACAGTGAGAGAGAGACGGGAAGGTCAAGGAGAGAGAGGGGATGACATGCAGCAAAAAGGCTGCAAGTCAGATTCAAACCCATGGCCGCTGCAGGTAGGACTGAGCCTTAAAGGTACACGCTCTACCAGGTGAACCACATACGTGCCAAAAACGAAACCCAAGTATTTGACAAATTAACATTTTCACCCAATGAGGACGCGAGCCGAAATGTCAGGGGATCACTAAAGTTATTACTGTGAATGTTTATACCAAAGTTCATGGCAATCCATCAAATAGTTGTTGAGACATGTCAGTCAGAGCCACAAACATCAATGTCTGGTGGCGCTAGAGGAAACGTCAGGGCTGGTCCATGACGGTCCATTTTAATCTCTGTTAAACATTTGAGCCGTCCAATCAGAAGATGTGATGCGATATTTCAGTGTTAATGTGAAAACTGATTGTTTTTATGGAAATGGAGAAAAGTGATTCTTGCGTGCAAACAGCAGCATGACCTATGAACTTTATAGCAAATGATTAAGATTTTAATCAAAACCTGTCATTTTTTTTATTAAACCTTGAAAATTTGTGGCCTGTCGAAAAAGAAATGAAGAGGACGGTTTTCGGCTCACAACAGCAGCATGAGGGATCGTGGGTGATTTTCCGCAGTTTGGTTTTATTGGAAGTGTAATGGGCCATAGAGGGTTAACAGGATACAGTACATTTAATCCCCTTTTTCCTGTGTATGGGTGTGTTAGTGACTGTCGACAGTGAATCTGTCATCATATTCAAGAAAATCAGATTAGTTTGTCCCTTTGTGCCTTAATATCTACCTGAGGAGCACCTCCTCCATCATCCTACCACAATATCAACCTGTCCCTCATCCCTGCCCGACATTACATCTCATATGAAATTATAATAATAAAACGCATTACCTCAGCTTTTCATAAGATCTCTGTTTAGCATATAAACATCGTGGAGAGAGCCAGTTTGTCAGCAGATGACTTCAGTATGGGGCATTGTGTCACATCTAAATGCCTCCTGGTCGTCTCTGGATGACGCTGACTTGTGTGTGTTATTGCGTTAAATGTCACATACTTGTTTGACTTGGTTCGACAGAAGCATTTCACACCAGGAAAAGTTTCACCAGGAAAAAAAAGAAAACCCCTTTGATCGTAACCGTATCTGTTGTCCTGTGCAGATAAATGCTGCTTGTTCCTCGCAGTCTTACTGTTTGCGTCACTGTTGAGTCACTCAGAAGCTGATTGTTTTTTTCCTGTGAAGCATTGTGATGGTAAGCTGGTGGTGATGGTGTCAGCGCAGAGTCTCAGGTGGTGCTGCAGGACAGAGCCCACCCTCCCCACTCTCACACACCCTCGCTCTTATCTGCCTGAATTCTTGAGGAGATAAATAATGGGATTTAGTTAATTGACACACACCACCGTGTGTGTATGTGTGTGACTTGAAAAGATCAAACCCTAGGAGTTGATGAAGAGCTTAACATCTTAGCATGATGTAATTATTTCAAACTTAGCAACAAAAAGGATATTAAAGGGATTTTGAGACATTTGAGACAGCAGGTATACAGCACATGTTCCTCTATTCAGACAGACAGTATGTAGTTTTACTGAGCTTATAATTCTCTTTAATTATAAATAGAGACACTGAATTTTTTGTTTGCGGAGCCTTGGTTGTGCAAATATAACTTTCCATCACGTGTGTTAGTTTTTAGAAAGCAGCAGAGACTGCACAGCTTACATGGGGATGGAGGTTTCTGCTCCGGCTTGGTCTCATTTTGTAAATATTGAGGCTGCACTCGTAGCTAACACAATGTGAAACCATCTCCCTCACTTCTCCCTTGTTGGGTGGTACTCGAGGTTTCTCATCTGTGGCAGCATCTGCGCCCTGCACTCCTGTTTTTATTGTTTAAGAATTGCTCTATGTTGACCTTGACTCTTTTAAATGGTTCTCACCGAATCTGAATCTGCAAATTTCAAGTTTTGAATCATAGTGGTCTTATAGTGGTCTATGATGCAAACCATGTAAGTGTAACACTGTGTGATTGTGGCAGGGGACCTTTGTTGCATGTCATCATACACAGCTCAACTCCCCCACTGCTCTCCTCTTGCTCTGTCTCCTCTGTCACGTCAAAGCAAAAAATGCCACGAATATAAGCTTAAAAAAGAACATAGGCAACATACTACATCCACTTCACCTGGGAAGTGCTTTCATTTATGGGCGTCTAATTTCCTCACAATTTCCGTATAGTTTCCAAAACATTTTCTTAAAAGAACTATTGTGTATTATATTATTTGGTATTAATTATGGACAATTAATTAATTCAAATTAAGTGCTAATATAACTTAGATAGTGGTTAGTGAGTGCACAGTCACAAAATGTTAAATTTGTCTGCATGCAAGCATACAATTCAAAATAAATGGAGAAGAAAGTTTCTACTAAAAAGTGAATAATGAATAGCTTTTTAAAAATGGCATTCATATTTTCCCTATTATTTGTGCCGATATATATATAATTATTTTGTTTTATTTATTCAGCTTATTTCAGATGTTTTCATCGGTGGATATGTCGGACAGTAAGTAACAAGAAAATGCAGTGAGAATGCAATTTAGAAACTGTGTTGTCTTGTTGTCTTGTTTTATTTTTCAACTGTGAAATGACCCAATCAGTTTCTATCCCTTTCATAATGGTTTATGCAACGTTTATGTTAAAAAAACAGAATATTAGAATTATCATTTTCCAATTTTTTAACACTAAAGAAAATTAATTGTTATCCAGCTTAAAAAAATCGTCAGGCTAAGTATAAAAATGTTTCGGATTTACACTGTGATGAATCAGTTTTCTTCATTGCTGCATCTCATGTTACAAGATAAAACATTTACTGGAAACCAAAAGTACCGCGAGTAATCCACCATGTACAAGTTAAGACTCGGTAGAATACTAAAGCATTAACAATGTAAAAGACTTCCCCTGTGATTCACTTCAAATTTAAGTCACGTCTGTGTGTCAGAGACACTCTGAATAATGACAGCGACCAAATGTTCATGATTTGAATAATTCACATTAAATACCACCTATACAAACAATGATCCCACTCAGTACGACGGTGTGACGTCTGTCTCGATCCTGCTGCACAAAAAAGACGACTGTCGGCCTCCACCTGCTCTCCCACCCCTGTGTGTAGATCGGGAGGTGGAGGACGAGGGAGAAATAGATCAATTAGACCTCATTTGGAAACACAGCGGTGAAAAGAACAATACCTCTCACGTCTGTACACTATGGAGCTAAAGATGGAGGATGATCAGCTAAGCGTTGCATAAAGATGAGAAATAGTTACACCACATAAAACCTGTAAAGACATTGTACATTTTTGTTTGTGTACAAATTAAACAAATGAGATAAAGCATTGTAATTAGCAAGCTGTAGAGGTGATGGACAGAGCCAGGCCAGATGTTTTACTCTGTTTCCAGTCTTTGTGTGAAGACAAGCCTGTTAGCCGCAGCTCCATAATTAATGGGCAGAAATAAGAGTACAGTGTCAATTTTCTCTCATAACTTAAGGAAAGAAAGAATTTGTTGTGTGAATTGTTCTCAAAGGATGTAGATGTAGGCGTAGATGTAGCACAGGAAGTTGTGTGCTAAGTGTTTAGTGGACAGTATACACACATGTGTATGTTCACTGCGTGGGACAGTAAAGGAGACAAACTGTAAATTCCCACTGAATAAGTGGCTCTGACTGATCACCGCGTGTCATTTTCTGTTGGAAAGTCCGTTACTCAGTTTTTATGCCTCCACGCCGGCGACAGTCAGGGCCAGAGGCATTATGTTTTCCGTCCGTCTGTATCACTCTCATGAACGTGATATCTCAGTAGCGCCTTGAGGGAATTTCTTCAAATTTGGCACAAACATTCACTTCGACTCAAGGATGAACTGATTAGAATTTGGTGGTCAAAGGTCGAGGTCACTGTGACCTCACAAGACACGTTTTTGCCCATAATTCATGAATTCATTCACTAACACAAATGTCTAATAGGATAAAATATATTTATGTGCAAATGGTCAAAGGCCAACTTCACTGTGACTGGTCTGCAAAAACACCTCTGGCCATTATTCAGCGCTTTAACTGAGGAAGGGAAGATTGTGACCATATTTCTTGCAACGTGGCTGGTTGGTGGAGGCGAACAATCACATGTTGGTAATTCTAGTGTATAAATGTGGAGGAGGAGGAATCTTATTCTCTGATCCTCAAAACACATCCAAACAGAAACTGCAATTCAGAGCATGTACGCTCTCAGGAGTTGAGGCTCCTGTTACCTCCGTGAAAAAAATATTTTTATTGCATTGATTTTCAAAAAAGGAACAAATGCACTTCTATAGATTAACAACACTTCAGGTATCTCTTTATTCAACAGTTAATCAGCAGTGCAAAGGGTGGCAGTCTGTCTCAAAGCGGCCATCTTTCCTGTGTGTGCGCGCGAGCATACACTCTCACAACTTTAAACTCAGACACGGCCTAGTTTGCATACAAACGTCCTGTTTGACCTTTGACCTCTCTATGTAATAAGGATCTGGGTCTTTTCCTGCATCATTACACACTGCTCTGATAATTATGATAATTAGAACTGTAACACCGCAGATGAGGGTGAACATCACGCGGCAAGAGCAGCAGGTGTGGAGGGGGGAGAGGATGATGTAAACTGAAGATGAGCTGTGGTGTATAAAAGAAAGTTTTGTTTTTATAGACGAGCTCTGAATGTGGAGCTTTGTTTGCCGACTGTATGGAGAACAATTATTTTAATCTAATACAATATGCACACCATAGACAGACTGTAGACCAGTCCTGTCTTCAGCCCAGAGTGGTGTCCACCCTGTCAGAAAGACAGTTATTTTAAAAAAAGGCTTAACTTTAGCTTCTTTTTGTTATTCTAAAGAGAATGAAGTTACTGCTTTGTCACAATGTGATACCAAACCAATGCAGTGCTAACTGAAATGTAATTTTAATATAGAATCATTTTCAGGTCTACAAATAAACAACAAAAACTAAGCCTGCAGTGTAGCTGAATACTAAACCCCACCTTTCCCCCCATCGCTCCACTCACTTCTGAGTAACAAATGAGCTCTGTCTGAGCTTTGAAGCACATCTCTCCTGGAGTTTGTACAAACCTTTGCACCTGTGTGAAGATGGTAGTTAAACAAAGATGGTTAATGATAGGCCAGGTGGACTTGTGATGGCAACACACTGAATGAAATGTCGGCTGATTGTGAATCCTAAGCAAAACAAAGCAAGTGCCACTGAAAGTAAGTTTAAAAAATCCAGTCCAAATGTGTCTCTGGACGTATTGAATCAACTCAAAACACTGCCGAGCTCAGGTACACGCTCACAGAGTTCTGCCCTGAAACCTGTCACTGTTGAGTTTGACTCAAGTTGACTACACATCTCTGCCTTCCTCTGTCTGAAAGAAATAATGTGTCTGGTTTATTCACTGTATCTTTTGTCAGTTCCTCAGGTTTGAACATTTGACGGCGGGTTACTGGACACACAACTTAATGAATATGTTATGAGAGCTAACACTCAAGGGAGGGGCTCTGGTCACTGTATCTGCGTTCGTGTGCACTTGCAAAGCAGGCAGCACACCTATAACCAGTCAGTGTGCGTTATGAGAGTGATGTTGTGCACATGTGTTTGTGTAACGAAGCAGCCGCTTCACTGACATGTTCTGTGACAGGCTTCAATTTCCATGGAAGATTTCCTCTGGAAATCTTATCTCATCTTTACGTTGCAGTGCCTTCGCTGTTTGTTTCCATCTGTGTGCGTCTGTGTTTCCACATGTTCGTTTCTCCTCTCAATACAGAGCTGCATTAGCTCGATGGATGCTCAAATGGAAGGTGGGAGATGACACATCTGGCTTTGAAAATGGGCGAAATTGGACTGACTGATCTGTGTCTCTCTGTGTTTCTCTGCTCTTATTCCTGTTGCGTCCTCTTGGAGAAGATTGACCTTTGTGCTGCCGTGTTGTGATTGTCTCGTGACAATTGAAAAAGGGGAAAACAGGTCCTCTGTGTGTGTGTGTGTGTGTGTGTGTGTGTGTGTGTTTGCAAATCGCATATTGGAGGAATATCTGACCTTATCCAAGACCAATACCATCTGTCATTGATTATAGTTACCCCTCAGTACTGCAGTGAGCTATACCATCAGTATGGAAGGTCATGAACACAGAGAAAGCACAGCCTTACATTTTTCCACTGGAAATTGAATCCTGACAAAGAACATGTCAATCATACACACACAAACACACACACAGGCGCGCACTACAGTGTTGCCTTCACTGTCTGATGAATGATAAGTAAACAAACTTTCGCCCCTGATTAGTATGTTAATGCACAGGGGACGATTTCTTTTACAATTTTACATCATCCAGCTAACAGCAGAGTTCGGGATTAAGATATTGTTATGCATAATAATATTGTAGTCTTAATGCTTCTGCCTCCAAGATGGAGCAGCAGGAAATGTCTCTAGTGTCTTGTTAGTTCAGTAGCAAAGGAAGGTCAGATATTGGCTAACATTAATATTTAAGAGCACGTGGACAAAATTACTTCAAGAAATGACTTTGATACTCAACATCTGAACAGCAGCTAGTCTGTGGTGTGACACTTGCTGCTCTGTGTGTGTGTGTGTGTGTGTGTGTGTGTGTGTGTGTGTGTGTGTGTGTGTGTGTGTGTGTGTGTGTGTGTGTGTCTACTCTCCGTAACTCTGCTGCCAGCCAAAGATGCTCTGTTTACTCTTCACCCTCCTGAACGTCTCTGATTGGAGCATTTTGACCAGATAAATCAGGGCCACCTGGGCCCAGTATTACACTATTATTGCTCTACACATATCTTTTTGATTTTAGTTTGAATTTCCACATCTGACAACACGTTTTCTACACAGGCTGGTTTTCGTCTATATTTATTCTGTAATAATGTTTCCAATAGGGTCCATCTTCTGAGCCCTGTGGAGTTTATGATCAATAGACATTTTCAAGTGTAATCAGTAATTTTCCATTCAGTTGTATCAATAACACATGCCAGTGATGCAGCAAATGGGATGCAGCCATTGTTCACAATTACACCCGAGATTTTCTTGCTATAACACGTCAAACTCCACATACTGCACTCATAAGAAAACTAAAGGTGTACGTTGTGTTATATAAGAAATAGGAGAGGAACAGAGATGCCAATCACAAACTGTGCATGGTCAAACACCAGTGGACTTCCAATACGATAACCATTTTTACGAGCAACAAAAGTCACATTTATTATACAGGCCACGAGCAGAGTAAAAAAAAAAAAAACACACTTCTGTAAAAGCAGCACACCTGAACCCAGGAGGCTCAGGAAGTAGAGCGCGTCATCTACCATTTAGAAGGCCGGTAGTTCGATCCCCGGCTCCTCGCGTCGAAGCGTATGTAGAAGAGCATTTAGTGGGTGAACAGTCATAACTTAAAGACCCTGAGTATTGGACTTGCAGAGAGGGGGTCAGAAGCCCGATTCCAAATGAATGTTAATGTCGTATCGACTTTATAAGGTGACGATAATAAGTGGTCGTTGTGATTAGAGCCTGTTCCACTGCTCCACAGCCAAACAGATCAACTGATGCTGCTTTAAATTAGAAAAAGATGTAACTAAGCAGGTAAATGCACCAATGGAGAACTGATGTGAAACACTCAACAAAAGCAAGGAGCTCTGCTTGTCTTTATGCTGAGATGTTTTCATTTCCTTATGATTTTGTTCATTTGCGTCTCCCTTTCTCTGCACTTCTCTGACTTGCCCCCTTTCAGCTCAGTTCATCTCTTGTCCATGTTTCCTCCGTCTGTGGACACTTAGTCATCACTCTTGTTGTCTCCATCTCTGTGTGTAGGATGTACGATGTTGGAGGCCAGAGAACTGAGCGGAGGAAGTGGATTAGTTGTTTCGAGGATGTCAGGGCGGTGCTGTTCGTGGTGTCGCTCAGCGGTTACGACATGACCCTGGTGGAGGACCCCTCCATGGTACAAGCTGCACTCACTGCCTCACAAATGTTCCTGCTCTCCCCTCAAAGTAACCAGAGAACACTTGTTCAGTCTCACCCAAGAGTTTGTCCTCATAGAAGAAGTTTTAAAAATGGCAAAGTGTGTCCTCTGCACCTCTGCAGCTGTCTGACGATGTTATTGTCTTCTCTCTGCAGAATCGTCTGCAAGAGAGCATGAAGCTCTTCTCCTCCATCTGCAACAATGTCTTCTTCCGCAGCACGTCCATGGTGAGAAATTCATCAGTCACACACTTCCTCAAGACACAAGTAGTAAAACAAACTGGATCCACACAGCACAAAGAACATAGAACAAAGAGATGGTTTGTTCAAAGATAAGCTGCTTCACAGAGGTCTTTGTCAATGGAGGAATCAGAAATATATCGTGAAAGTGCTACAGTTTTGTACATGTGTCTATGTGTGTTTCCGCCCTTTTTTAATCTCATCTGGTTGATATTTTGTGAAACAGCACCAAAGTCATGAGTTTGTTTAAAGTACCTTCAACGGCAGTGGCTCCAAACCTTTTTGGCCTGTGAGCCCTTAAAAGAGAACTCCACCAGTTTAGCACTGCGCTCCTATAACATTGTCGGACAGAGGTCTGGTGAGCTCACTTCTCTCTAACTCCGCGCCCCCAGGTTTTTATGCCTCCGCGCCGTCACAGTCGGGGTCGGAGGTCGTGTTTATATATATTTTTTGAGGTCCCATTCTCATGAACGAGATATCGCAGTAACACCTTGAGGGAATTCATAGTTCACTTCACATTCAGCACGAAATTTTCACTTGGACTCAAAGATGAACTGATTAGACTTTGGTGGGCAAAGGTCAAAGGTCACTGTGACCTCACAAAACACATTTTTGTCCATAACTCATGAATTCATACGCTAATTATGACACAATTTAACTCAAATGACTAATTGGATTAATGATGAAGTGATGGGATTTTATAACCAAATGGTCAAAGGTCAACTTCACTGTGACATCATAGTGTTCTGAAAAAACACTTCTGGCCATTAGTCAATGCTGTCACTCAGGGAGGAGAGGTTGTGACCATATTTCCTGCGACTTGGCTGGTTGGTGGAGGCGTTTGTTAGTAGTCTTCAGACTCAACTGCAGATATTCACATACGCAGTATTACTCCTAAAGACCTGCAAATAGACTGTAGTTTAGTTCCCCTTTAAAACAAAGCTCTGTTGACTTTACAGGTTGCATATAGTTTGGGCTATGAGTACGGTCCACATCTTGAAAAGCCCTTGCACAAGACACAGATCCCCAAATTGCATATTACTGTAAGTGTATATGCCACAGTGGGTTGCCCATGTTAAGAACCACATCTCTACAGAGTCACAGATTTTACAGGGTTAAAACATTTAGAAGTTAGCGCTCGGTGGAGAATTCTGCTTTAGTTTAATTGTTACACTCTTCATCTTGAGATGTGGACTGGCAAATATCTAAAGCTTTGTTTTAAACGTCACAACACAAAAAGATCGAGACAGTGTCCAGCCAAAGAGGGCGGGAACCACGGTTCAGTCTGACAGTTCAGTTGGTGGACGGAGCTGATGGAGGAGACACGAGCATAGTGTCTTTGTAGCCCTCCATTTGTTCTCGATGACACCATGAAACAAAAATAACACTAATGCTGTTTCCATACACACACACACACACACACACACACACACACACACACACACGCAGCCTCGGCCCTTTGTCTCTGAGTCCTCTGTCACTCGTAATTAAACAGCGAGTTGTAATTAGAGTGAGCTTTGGCGAGGTGACATTTTCCCCTCGCTGTGTTTTTCCAGTCCCTGCTTCCGGTAAATGATCACATTAAAACAACCATGTAACGAGCTTGTTCAATTTATTCCACTTAACTCGCATTTAAAGCCCACTTAAAACACAAGTCACTGCATGTTGACGCGAGTGTCAGCTGCCATCGCGCCGGCAGAGTTTTTTTTTTTTTTTTTCGCTCTTTCACTGTGACGCCGTTTTCAACATTTGTCATACAGGAAGAAAACTCAGTGCGTCGGTTTGGATTTATTGAGGTCGTGGGGGTCAGTCATTTACAGTTTGTACATGTTCAGAGTCTCAGATGTGCACCAAAGCGTCTCTTTTAGTATTTTGATCTATATTTAACCATAAAAATTTTATTTAAGGCTTCATTGGAGCCAAATGGGCAATTAAATGTCTGTGTGTGACGTGTTTATTGTGCAGGGACGTGTGTGGGCCTGCACGTTAACGTAGCTAACAGGCTCATTAAACAAAAGTGTTTAATGATACCTTTTTTAACGTGGGAGGAAAATTTGTAACCTCCACCTCAATTAACTCTTTACTGTGGCTGGTCAGTGGTAATTACACACCAAGCCATTGCTCTGTGTCCTGCTCATTGAAAATCTGCTCTACCTCATCCCTCCCTCGTTATGATCAGGGGCTTTTGTGTGTGTGTTTATTTTTGTGATCAAACCAGCCAGGGAAGAGAGAACTTGATCGTAGTTTTAATTGGTCGACTACAAAGCCAAAGGTACCTGTGAAATGTGGCGGCGGCGGCCGAGCAGAAGTTGAGTTCAGAGGCAGTGAAAACGAAACGGCAGAAATGCAGACACTTATTAAAGTAGCAGCTGAGTTTGCTGAGCTCTTTCGCTGGGAGACTACATGAGGGATTGATTGCACACTGATGCATGGAGCGAGGTCATTGATCTGCCATCATTGCCCCATTCCGGTATAAAGACAGCTATTGATTTTCGCATTTTACATAGATATATCTGTAAAGTGACGATAAATGTGACTATAATGTTTGAAGCTGATTTATTGGTTTCATTTTGTGACTTATTGCAGCGCTACAGGTGAGAGTCACCAAATCAAATCAACATTTTCTTTTTTCTCATGATCTTTCAAATTGATTTTTCTTTTTCCACTGGAGAGGAGGCCTTTGATTTGTGATGAGCTTCTTGTGCTCACAGCTGATTGTTTGTCTTTGTGTGTGTGTGTGTGTGTGTGTGTGTGTGTGTGTGTGTGTGTGTGTGTGTGTGTGTGTGTGTTCTTATTGCAGATTTTATTCATGAACAAGATAGACCTTTTTCAAGACAAGATTTTACACTCTGGACGACATCTGCGGTTATACCTGCCACAGTTTAAAGGTAGGACTGATGTTAGTTATCTTATTTATACTGTCATACACATATTTGGACTTATAAGATACCATGTAAAATTACACTCAGCTGCCACTTTATTAGGTACACCTGTAACATCCAATACAGCAGCTCAGCCATAAATTTTACTCTTACTTTTTTAAAAGAATCATGTTCAGTTTTTAAGAACTCTGTCAGAGAGGTATTAATTTAACTATGTTTATTATTGAGCTTGTAGGTGCGTCTAATGTTTTGCCCACCCCATGTGAAAACACGAGGAGGGAAGAATAATAAGAAACACATTTCAGTATGATTCAGTCCAGTGCAACACTTACATTCTGTATGTAAAATGTAAAATCTATTGTATTAAACTGCATTAAATTGTACATGTGTAGCTAATAAAGTGGCCAGGGAGTGTGTATTGTAAACAAGGAACTTCTGCCAGCTCCAGTTCTACATAATCGTCCTGGTCAGATGACATTTTAGTAAAAGGCGTGCGTAACTGCACACAGTGTCAATGCTTAAATAGTTTTTCTTAAATTAATGTTCGTAATTCACCAAACATCAACGGATGGTCTTTCCTTAAACATGAGGAACAATTTGCACCGAGCATCGTGAATGTTAATTACACTGTAGCCTGTTTTGAAACATGAAAAATAAATTAATTATGTAAAAGAAAGATTTTTCCTCATTTATTTAGGGATATTTATGTAAAATGTCTTTGTTAAAGATGTGAATGTTTATATATAATGTCCATATAATGTTATCAAGCTAAAGTATAAATACATACAAAATGTATCAAAAGGAAGGACCAGTGTGCCCACGTTAAGCAGACTGATAATTAGTCTCCCATACAGGCAGACACACACACTGACACACACTGATGTTTGTTGAGGAGTTTTTTTTTTTGTTTTTTTTTTGTATCCGCTCCGCTCAGCATTTCGCTCCCCACGTCTCAGTGGGCTCAACAGGAGCTGCGTCCTGTCTGCTCTCATGCAAATGTCAATATAAATGCTAAAACTCTTGGGATTGGGGTCAGCCAGCAGAGCAAGCGTCCATTTCACACTGACCTCAGATATGATGACTCGTCATCATACAGCGGCTCCCGACCTTTCGTGTCTGATGTACCCCAACAGCCCCATCACAAGAGCTCGTGTGCCCCTTCACCAGCACCAGCCCACGACGCTCCAAGTGTTTGTTTGAGTTCATCTTAAACTGGATGTTATATAATACTATTAATTACATAAAGATGATCTGTTAATGGGTAGGCTTGTTCTTCTGTTCTGCAGTACTTCACTTTGCATTTGTATTATTACAACTTTGAGCGAATGTTTTGAGCCATTTATCATTTGCTTTTAGATTTCTATTTTGACTTCTCTGCTTGCTTAGTAAAGGAAAGTAACAAGTACTCCAGTATTTCCATTTTATGCAGATTTATACTTCTTCTTTAAAGGGAAATATTTTACTTTTTACAACACTACATTGAACTGTAGCAGTAACTGGAGTTACTAGTTACTTTTAAAGTTAAGATCTAATTTTAAAAAAACTGATAAACTTGCATTGTTTGAGATGAAGCCAGCAGCTCCCAACTTTATTAGCTTGTTACAAAAGAAATCAGTCTAGTTGATGTCCATGGTTCATTTAAATAACTGTTGAAATTATCAGATATAAAACAAAGACTAGAGAAAATGTCAGAAAAATTAAAGCAGATTTGTGTTTTGTTTCTTTTTTTTTCTCTTCTCTTTTCATGAATCATCTTATACAACCGCTCAGATTCATCTTGTGACCCTTTGAGAGACTTGAGCCTCAGATTGGAAACCAGTGAATACAGTGTAGCTCTACCTCGAGCTGCAACAGTAAAACGCTTATTACACAATCAATATTAACAATGTAATAATGTCACATTAAAATAATACAAGCCGCAGAACAAGTACAAGTACATTTCACTGATGATACCTTTGTAGTTTTACTTCTGTAGGACTTTGAATGCAGGACTTTTACTTGTAATGGAGCACATTTACATCAATGTGTTGATGCTTTTAAGTCTGAAAAATAAAGATCTGCGTACATCTTCAACCACTGATTAAAGTAACTAGTTTTCATGAACTCTCAGTCACATCTCTCGGTGTTCGGGGGTTAGAACTGACTCAGGTTGGTGTGATTCATGTCCTGCGTCTGTCGTAGCTCGTCAAATCATAATTTCTATCTGTTCAATTTAGTGTGATTGACTGGTCACATCTTAGAGACACTGTGCTCAGGAGGCAGATGTTTCACTCTGAAGTCTGATTCCTCCCCTCCTCTCTCTTCCAGGTGCAGACTGTGACGTGGATTCGGCCGCCCGTTTCATTGCCGCCACTTTTGTTTCCCTCAACGCCATGCCCAGCAAACTCATCTACCACCACTTCACCACGGCGACCGACACCTCCAACATCCAGGTCGTCTTCCAGGTGGTTATGGACACGATAATCAAAGAGAACCTGGAGGCAGTGTCACTTCTGTGACTGCCAGTCACAGAAAACTGAGATGTCACTGGACAGTCAGTCCTGCCGGTCTTTGGATGTGTCATTTTAAAAGACTAACACAGCAAAAAAAAAACAAAAAAAACAATAGGCATTGAACACAACATGGAGATCATCTAATCCACGTGAACTGTCTGTTTTCTCTCTTAAGGTGCAGCCTGGGAACTCTGATGCTCTTTGTTGCATTTCATCCTCTCTGATGCTTGATTTCATGTAGCTTTGAAAAACGCATTAAAGGAAGAGGACCTCTCAGCCAATCCTTTGTTTTGGGGTTGAGCCCTGAAACATTGACTTCTGTCAAGAGTAATGGGCATTTATATTTTTGTACTGTACAATGAAATTAGACAATGAACAGAGACGCTTTCTGAAGACTTGATATATAGTGCCATTTATTTCCCTGTCTCTTCTCGTGTGTGTGTGTGCGTGTGTGTGTGTGCGTGCGTGCGTGGGCGCAGGACACAGAGGTGGTGACAATTTACTGTTTGTCCGTTACTTCCTTGGCGCAGGGTTCACTCATGCATACCGTCGTGTGTTTTCCGCTCATTCATCACTGTGTCTCTGCTTTGCACATCCTGTGCGTCACACCCTCCTAATGAGCCGGTGATCACTGCAAAAGCACCCTAGTTTGTGTTGACTCTCCCTCAGATGAAATCATCCACACACGTTCATTTTAATCTGCATCTTCACTTTGTTCCCCTGACTCTTACCAGTCAGCGATGACGCTGGGAAACTTTAATAATGGAAATGGGAGTGTATGTAAAGAAACATCCCTGAAGCCTCCTGACTTGTGTTTCATTTCCTTACTTTCACCTCCCCTGATTATTGCTGCAATATCTGACACACACAGACAGACACACAGACACAGACACACAGACACAGACACACACACACACAGATCAACACAGACACACACACACACACACACACACACACACACACACACACACACACACACACACACACACACACACACACACACACACACACACACACACCCACCCTGATTTGTCAAGCAGGATGATGCCTCCTCTATGTGATTTGTGTGGCATTAACTCTACTGGGCTCTGACTGTTTTGAAGGCTCCCCTGAGCGACTGACTGTGATGATCACACCAGCTCCTCTCTGACTCCAGTAATAAACAAGATATGCTAATGTCTGATATGGATACTGAAGGTGACAGAGAGGTGAAAAACACCCCCAAGTGCCTTATGATGAAGTGATTTTTCTGGTGTGTAATTAAAATGCTTCATATATGTATGAAACTTCTACATGTGTATTTTTCCTTCTTTGCCTTTCATGATGAATCTCTACTGTTTAAATCTAATATTCTCAGATTGTAATTTTATAGTTTGTTCTGTGGTTTCTTTGAAGACAACCATGTGAAAGGATAAAAGTAAGAGTACCGCATCACTTATTTTTCCTTTTTCACCCCGCACTAGCTGGATATTTAGAGACAAATGTAGGTCACACAACAAGTTACCAGTGTTTGTTCATTTTAATAGATAAAATAAATAAAAGTACTTTACAGGAAATCTGCTCTGCAGTCAACTTTCTGGACATTTAATACATTTTGGCAAAGGCGGGTACATAACAAGGGGTAAACAGTACAGATGTGGCGTCATCTGGAGAGAAAATGGTTTCAACTAACATCTCTCGCACTGATTTTTTGTTTTGTTTTCTTTTATACTCCTGTCTACGCAACCAAAGCAAAACTGAACAATGTGTGTGTGTTTTTTTTGTTGTTTTTTTTTAAATAAGAGAGAACATTCAGAGTCTGCAGCGGTCCGTCATCGGTAATGATCGGGATCTCCTCTGCACCATCACCCCCGAAGCCCAACACACTCATCCCTGCCTTTCGTTTTCCGTTCTCCAGAGAGGCGCTCCCGGGGCTCGGTGGAGGACGGGGACTGTCTCCGCCGGTCCGGCCGGGACTCACGCGGACAGGCAGTCCAGGGAGTCCAGGGTAAGAAAGACATCCGCCTTGCACTGGAAGGTGCCCGTCCCGTCCCGCAGCAGCTCGCAGCTCTTCAGGTTTGGGGAGATGTCCTTCACGCAGATGGCCTGCAGGAGGTGAGAGTAAGTGATGATGAGTTAAGGTTCACAGCTAAAAAAATCCGGCTCAATGAGCTTTTAGTGGTTTTATTCCACTTTTCTACCACTTTCATATAATGTAGGTCTTACTCTCCTCACTCTGACCTCGCTGCCGAAAAGACAAATTATTGAGACGTTTTACAGTTAGAACAGCAGATTATTTCTAAAATAACACGAATGCCCCTCATAGATAAATCCTACGTTATTGCCTTTATTGTGGCGTTTTAACACTTCAAGAACATTTCTTTACTTAATCATCTTCTCACGCTACTGCGCTTTAATCTGCAGCGCTCACTGGTTTGCGCCTTTACGCACGAGCTTATAGGCGACAATTTGGATCTCTATGGTTTGTGTCTCTTTTTTTTCTTTTTTATAAAAGCAAGGGTAAAACAGTGCAGTCTAATCTAATCCCTGTCTAAGGTTTATTTACTTTCAATAGTCAAGCATCTCCATAAATGTAGCTCGTGTTGCTGAGCACATTTTACGCGCCTCTTCATTTTATCCACATTCTGGAAAGAAGAAAAGCTGAATCCCCTTAAACAGGAATAAAGTTAACAGTATCTTCAATGTACTTACCATGCTTTTGAGGATGGAGACCTGCCTGTTAGTCTCTGGCATCACGTTGTTACCTGCTGTTTCCCCGCTGTCCATCAGCGTCTCTTCAGACTCGGACCTCCGGACGTACGGCGACCTCCTAATGCCGGACAGCAAACCGGAGGCGCGACCCACCGAATAGTAACTGGGGCCGGTCGACTGCTTGTACCAGGCTTCGACTGGATGGCAGGATATAAGCAGAGACACTCCGACGCACACCACGGCAAACCTGACTGACCTCTCCATGTCTGGAACCGTCCTGGCACTTTTTTATTTTACGCAAAGGAAAACGGCGCTTTTCTCGTCTGCTCTTGGTCGGCTGCCGACTTGATGTTTTGTTGGTTGTTTGGGAAACTTTCTGGTGCTTATATAGGCGGACTGAGCGATGTTATCGTGACCCAGGACATTCGTCAAATCAAAATTGAGGTGGGCGGATGATGATCCGTCTTTATGCGGGAGAAGAAAAAGACCAATCCGAATTGATCTGTTTCTCATGGTTTGGCGGCGACATGGGAGGGGTGGGTGGATGCGTGTGTGCGTACGTGCGTGCGTGCGTGTGTGTGTGTGGGGGTTGTAGACGTATAGGGATGTCAGTCCTCTGACGCTTGCAGAGGTAAAAGTGAAATGGATTAACATCAGTGGACCAAGATAGACTCTGACGTAAGTGATCAAAACTCAAAGATGTTCAGATGGTTTGTCAAATTAGTGACACGCAAAATGTCCTTCTTCTTCACATGAGCTGATTCACAGATTCAAAATTTCCTGAAGGTCTGAAAACATTGTATGCAACAGTGCATGCAACAAAACGCGCAACACAAAGCAGAACCAGTGCATGGCTTCAAAAGACACGAGTGGAAATGGACAGATTAGGGGAAAAAAAAAAAAACAGCAGATCAATAAACATGAGTGAATAATCGACTGATCCAAATTGTGTTAAGTTTCATTAGCTTTCTGCTTGGACGGACTGTGAATCAGTCTCACTTCAAAGTGGAGCTCTGAGGTAAAACGGGCCTGTATCAATAAAAACCCTTTCCCTGATCGATTTACCGACCTCACCGGTCATGCGTCATGAACTCCACCACATCTGCAATCAGCAGATCAGGAAGAGAACAACAGTGATGGCGATTAAGACAGAGACGGATGCATCTGCATTTGGTCAATTAAATAATAACAGAAACGGTTGAATATTGTGTAACCATGTTGCCCCTATATGAAACAGGGTTATGACGGGGTCTGGATTATGGGGAAATGTCCCTTAAATGTACAGACACAGATAAGAAAGGCCACTGACTGGAATGATGAAATTAACCAGAAACATAAAGTCAAAGGATACTACACTGAAAACAATGTTAGGAATGAAGAAAACCCAACTCTAGTTTATTTTTGAGCATTAAAAGCAGCACTGACATATAAAAAATATAAATACTAATAAACAATCATTTATTCCATAAGATGAATGTGTTCATGTATGCGGACATTATGTCAATCAGGATGAGTTAAAGTACCATTAGAGTCCATCAGAGTCCATTGTAGAGTGGTCTGCAGTGTGGCTCTAGTTTGTCCTCCAGGACATAGTCTGGCCCACAGACCCAGGGGTCTCCCGTCTCCCACTGCCACTTCTGCAGACTCTGCCTCAGGCTCTCCAGCACGGCGCTGTAGGATGGGTCTGATACCAGGTTCCTCATTTCCAGCGGGTCTGTCCTGTGTTGGTGAAGCATTTAACATTAAAACAGCTTAAACAGATTCAGGGCTGAAGCCAAAACTTTGAAAAGGCTTAGGTCCCTAAGTCATAGCACCTTGTTTTGACCCATTTATAAGGACTACCCTAAACAAATAGTTGAAAGCCGTTATCAGACCTTATTAATTAAAAAATATAACTCCTTATGAACAAATCATGAAAGACAATATAGTAAACCCCAGTTGTAATCATAAAAATACTTTAATAAAATATTTTTTTTAAGCAATATAGCTTCATATCTTCATAAAATGTCGTCATAGGAAAAATTATAATTGCTTACAAATAATGCACTTGAAAGTGTCATGGCTGTGTACATCTCCATTATAGTATGTTAGAAACATACTATAATGTAATCGAAATATCTGCCAAAATAATCGCAATTTGATTTTTTTTGGCATATCGTTCAGTCCCATTATAAACCATTTATGAAGTGATACTGCTTATAAATGACAAACAGGGAGACTTGAAGCAAAGTGTCACTGTGATGAATATTATTTGAAAATTTAAATTAAATTTACAAGGCGTACGGTTTCTCAAAGCTAATTCATGATTTAAACACAATACCTATCTTTAGTATATAGTACTAAAGATAGTATATATCTTTAGTACAGTAAAACAGAAAACAGGACAATCTGATGAAGCACAGAGGTGAACGACCAAGAATCCCTGATTGCTCTTCACATCTTTACCACAGACAACATGTTCATTCTCTCTCGTTGTAATAGATGACAGTCACGCATAGTGAGCAATGCAGGACTTTTATCATAAATATGCCAGCTTTTTTTTTTTTCTTTTCATTGATCAGTTGTCATTTAGTATAAAATGCCTGTGAATAGTGAAAATTGCCCATTGCAATTTCCCAGACGATGCCTTCAAAAACCAACAGTCCAAAACTCAGAGTGGTATAAAACAGAAGCTGTAAGAATGTTTCACAATTTCCCTGACAAACTTAATTGATTATCAGAATTGTCAAAGGTCTGTCTTCTCCCTGTCAACTAATTGATTAGTTGGCTCCTCATTTTAGCATTAAAAGCAAGCAACCAATTCTCTCTTCACAGCTTGATCTAAACTCACAAGTTTTATCTGTGAACCATCACAGTGAATGTTTTCCTTCTCCTGAGCTGACAAAAACCCGATGAACACTGAAACAACATGTGCTTTAACAGCAGCTGTAACAGACCTGGAGTCGTACAGCTCCCAGCGCTCTCTGTAGTAATACTGCTGCAGGCTTTTGAACCAGTGCGTCGGCTGACTCAGCCTGGTGCGGTTCAGCAGGTCCTGGAAGGTGGGTGACACGTACAGGTCCTGGTCGATGGGGAAGGGCATGCGATAGTGTAGGTTGTGGAGAAGGTGGTACGCCCCCTGGTGGACAGAGCGGGTTGGGTAGTACATGGTCACCTGAAATCAAAATGACATTACAGCAGTCAAGGCCCAGTGTCTGACTCCTTCATGAGAGTCTGTTTCTGTCAGTCCGTGGCGCTGACGTCCTGTTTGAAAGCCGTGGCGCTCACAGACCTCGTGCAGGGACTGGCTGGCATAGACGGTGTACCAGTGGCTGGGCTCAGTGACCAGAGCAGGCAGTAAGGAGCGACCGGTGAGATGGACCAGGGCGGCAGGGCTGCCGGGGAGGCTGTAGGACGGGTAGGGAACGGAGAACCAGTCCAGAATGGTGGGAGTGATGTCTGCCAAAAAAAAGAGAGGGAGAAGAAGAGAAAGGGAAAGAAAGAACAGAGAGTGAGAAAATAAGACAAAGTAGTACCACACCTGGAATCTTAAATAATGGACTCATAATTAGTTTCTGCTATTTCATAGTGAACACAGAGGCACATCTGTCCAATGAAAACCATGTATGTCTGTGTATTTAAGGACTAAGTGTTTCCTTATTGGTTGAGGAAATTCTCCTACTTCTGCAAGCTCATGAACAGCTGAAAGATACATGGTTTTCAAACGACAGTGGCAAATATTAATGTTGACGTGAAATATTAGATGTTCACAATCACGTTATATTAAATAGTTGCCATGGTTACATTACATTATAGTCAGTAGTTGTAATTATCCAATGCAGGCATTCATATGACTGCCTCTACTCTTTTTTCTTCTGTTTTAATTGATATTTTCACATTTAGATTTCATTATTAGTTCAACTGTGAGAATCATTTTCAGTTTATTTTATCTGAGATCTGTTGCTGAAGCGTCACTGTTGTGTCTCCCTCTTGTGGCCACTTTGTAAATATAAACACACTGACTTCCCTGGTTGTTCATGTGTAAAAAACCAGTGGTAAATAACTGGGGAGCAGGAAGACACCAAGGATGATTAAAGACAGACAAAAAAAACATTTCAGTTACACAACATTATATTTGTTATTTCAGACTTTTTCTTTTTTTTTTTTATTACTTAACTCTTTAGCCTTTAGAAAAGCCTGAAAAAAGAAAATCCTTACTTTATTACTCACTAAGGAAATAACCTGTGATAAGGGATCAGCTAGAAATCTATGTTCCTTAATTTTAAGGAGTCACAAGCTAAAAAAAAAGGTTGGGAGCCACTAAAGTGGATCCTGCTACGTGCACTGTGCTCCTTTTTATTAAATTAGCCATTCTCAGCTTCTTGGCTTTCATCCATTTCTTACCTAGAAGGCTGACGTAGGCCTGGCTGGTGTCTCCCCATCGTTCCCTGTGCTCTGGAGAGGACACCAGCATGGGCTCTGCCGTCCCGGAGCGATACAGGTTGGTTCTGCCGTTGGGGAAGGGGATGCCGTTATCTGAGCTGTAGATGACCAGAGTGTCGTTCTCGTGACCAGCATCCCTGAGCTCCTGAAGAACTAATCCAATACCTGCAGAGGAAATTTACACTATTACAGCTGAGTGTTTTAGGAGAATTGCTTCTCACTGTTCACTTTATATTTGTATATATATGTTTATATGTGTAGGTGTTGCTACGCACCCTGATCCAGCCTGCTAACTGTAGTGTACTGCGCAGCTAAGTCGGCTCGTGCTGCAGGTGTGTCCGGCACGAAAGGAGGAACCTGAAGTACGTGAGATGAGGACGGACCAGATTAACGTGTGTTATTATTCATGGATAATATATATGGGAATCACACTCATTAGATACTGATACTGATGGAGGGTTGAATTAGAACTTATATGAAACAGTGATGATGTATTTCTAGCTGAGAGAAGAGGAGAAGCAGAGGAAGAAGAATGGATCACGTGTGTTGCTTTAAAATCTCAGTTTGAAGTTTCTTTTTCTGGTTGATATTTACACGTTCATACCTCATGGTGCGTCATGAGCAACCGATGATACCATTCTTGTAGAACATGTATCTACAGTATATACAATTGTTATATCACTGACCTTTACTTGTTCTGGTGTGTAATATTGTGGTGTCCAGTCAGGTATTCTTCCCATCCCCATTTCACCATTTCCAAACTTCTCACAGAAAGCCCCATACTGGGGCTGTGAATGCCCACATCGATGGGTGTCATGGAAGGCAACATAGAGGAAAAACGGCCTCTCTTCATCTCTTTTATCATCGCTGTCTCCTTTGTTCTCTTCTTTCTTCTGCCTTCGCTCAATGGCTTCCTC